TCTTTGATTGGAATATGAATGTTGCTGGAAGTATGAACATTTTCACAGGACAATGATATAAATGGAACTTCAAAACTTGTTTAAGTGTTACAGTGATATTTCGTTATATGTTACATAATGTCAATAAAATTGATTTCCCTGCAACATCCATAATTATTACTAATGTCAATATAACGAAATATCTTTTATGCGATGTTTGTGGTGTAATAAAAATCTGTGTTTCGATTACGTTTTTGATACGTATTACTCACTTATATGTAATAATATAGAATAAAAATATACTATTCGTATATTATGTAATAAATTTTATAAACATATTTAAAATTGCGAACACCTAATATCAAATTTATTATAACTCAAATTTATCATACACGATCTCATACAATAGCCGCCAGTCATTCACTGTCTCGTCTATCATAAATCGTTCCGAAATTCAAACGCGTCTCGGATATGCGGCACTCGTTTTAGTACTGACCCTTATCACCTATGGCGCTGCAAATCGACCAAGAAAAACCTCTGAGTTGTACCCCCGTGGTACCTAGTGACCATGAAACTCGGCCAATGGCTGCGTTCAGAAGACACAACCGTTAAGCAACCGTTGAGTGATTTCACTAGATTTGCTACCGCTCACCCAATACGGTGTAGCGTTCAGAGTAGTTCAGAGTCAAATCTAGTGAAATCACTCGTCGGTTGCGCAACGGTTCTGCCTTCTGAACGCAGCCAATGTTTTGTCTATTATAAATCGTTCTGAAATTCAAACGCATCCTGAATTTCCAGCACTCATTTTAGTACATGAGTCATGTCACCTATGGCGTTGCAAAATGATCAAGAAAAGCCTAGGAGATGTACCCCAATGTACCCTCCTGGGTTTGACTTTGTATACAATTAATAAAAACTCAGGTCATATCTACTTCATTCTGTAATTTAGTCCTTTGATTAAGATAATACTTATGGGAAGAAATTACATGAATTGCAGTTATTTCTGTATCATGTAACAATAATTCAAGACACCGTATCTTGTATGTTGCATATATAGACAGATTCAAATTTTTAATCTTAATACTGTAAATTCTTTTGGTGACAAAATCAATACAACTAGTCAGCTTATGTTCCAGTATTATTAGTTTGAAGCAGTTGTAGGTGAGTAATAGAAAAGCATAGAACGAAGTAATAAGTAACAAGCCATAGTTTCATGTTTTATAGTAGGAAAAAGAAATAAAAAAAAGTAAATATTCATACAGGCGGTAATATATTACAGTATTTTATATAAGTAGTTTTTTGTAACAGAAACCGAATGAATTAAATTGTTAAATAACTACTAGCATATTTATGTTTTTATGAATTCTCTATATAAACCAAGAACAAGTTATAGAATAAGAAGCAAGTATGACAGATACTGTATTTAAATACATGAAAGTACAAAACAGACCTTATAGTGTCAATGATGTAGTATCCAATCTACACAATGAATATGGTAAAACATCTGTACAGAAAGCTATAGAAAAGCTGGTAGCAGAAGGAAAGATATTTGAAAAAGTAAGATAAATGTACTATATATACAGTCAGTTGTAACAGATAATACAATTGGAAAGATAATAACTACTTATGTATAGATAAATTAAAAATGTAAAATAAACTTTGCTCACATGAATTTTTATTTTCAAGAAAATAGATTATGAAAATTCATCTGGTATACATGCACTTATGTACCACATAGTCCATTATTAATTATTTTTACTTAAGTTAATTTTAACAAATTTAGGAACAATGAAAGTCGTATTTTGTAATAATGTAATATAAATTAATACTGGAGAAATAATATACAGGGTGGACAATAACTATTACCACCTCAGATATCTTCGAAACTATAAGGTTCACAGAAATATTTGTTTAACCAAAATTATACAGTACGAAGAGCCATCCAATGGTGCTAATAGATTTTTTGCAGGTGGAGGTACTTTGGATATTTCAAGGTCATCTCCCTTTTTTTTAAATGGATCTGTATGTTTTTGTTTCCGTAGAATGATAGAGGAGCTTAAAACGAGTTTAATGACCTATTATATAAGATCATAATAGGTGTTCGAAATGGTGACCATCACTATCAATGCAACACTGGATGCCTTTCATGACTGATTGACGGGCAAGTCTTATAACGTCAGAACTTCTTGATGCACAGGCTGCAATAATTCACTGTTGCATGTTTTGAGGTATAGTTGGTACTTCTTTGTACACTTTATCCTTCAATGTTCCCCATAGAAAGAAATCTAGCAGTGTCAAGTCTGGTGAATGAGCTGACCACGATATTGGACCACTATGTGTGGTCCAACGATTTTGAAATTTTTCACCCAGTTCCCTTTGCGCAATCAATGAATAATCTGCTCGGCATCCATCATGTTAATACTACATGTCTTCTATCAAAGGACCCAATGTAACCTTAATAAAATTAGCATAGATGTTGCCATTAAAATTTCCATTGATAAAATGAGGACCAATAATTTTATCGTCTGTGATACCACACCATATGTTCACAGACCATTGTCTCTGGTGTTCAACCTGCTGCAGCCAATGTGGATTTTCCGTGGCCCATAAATGCATGTTATGCAAATTATCATTCCCGTGATTTGTAAATCTTGTCTCATCAGTAAATACGACGGTATTATGAAATAATTCATTGTTTTTGATCTGATGACTGTTAAGTCATAAGATACTGTTTAAGCTCATCGACAAAATTCAACCCGATTCATGAAGTCGTTTCCCTGCAATTGTTGGTGAAGACTAACATGGTACGGATGAAATTTGTGACGGTGCAAAATGCGAAGTACACACTTCCTACTAATGCCAGATTCGCGTTCAATTTGTCGCGCACTAATATGAGGATTTGTAGCCAGACTTGCGAGCACACCGATTTTATTTTCTTCGTTACTGGTTTTCGGCGTTTACTTTTACGAACACTTAAAGTACCGGTTTGCCTAAGTTTGTCACACACATTTTTAAATGTTCGACGCGAAGGCAGAGACTGATGTGCATAGCGTTCAGCACACAAGTTTTTTGTCCTTACAGAATTTTGTTGGCATACGCCATACATAAGAAGCATATCGACTTGCTCTTCAAATGGATACATCAAGCCCTGTTGACCAATAGGATACTACTCTTATCATGTTTATCTTATTCTGTAAACTTATTAAAGTGTCCCTCAAACAGTATTCATTTTCAGTGAATTAAACCGTAAACATTATCGCTTTCCTCTATTTTCTGTGACCTTCAATGACTTTATGTAATAGGTCCTTGAACACGTTTTAAGCTCCTCTATCATTCTACGGAAACAAAAATATATCAATCCATTTAAAAAAATGTACGTGACCTTGAAATATCCAAAGTACCTCCATCTGCAAAAAAACTATTAACGCCATTGGATGGCTCTCTTCATACTGTGCAATTTTGGTTAAACAAGTATTTCTGTGAACCTTACAGTTTCGAAGATATCTGAGGTGGTACCAGTTAATGCCTCACCCTGTACATATAATAGATAGTCTTATTAGCTATTATTACAAAATTTGCGTACAGAATGAATGTTTTGAATCCATTTTCTTGAAAGAAAGACCTTGCTTGAAAAAGTTTTAGTTTAGGTTTTCAATCTCTTTTTACATGAGTAATCATCTTCTTGGATGTACCATCTATTACAGAACACTCTGTACATACTAAGCAACATAATTAAGTAATTTTTACCTCAGGTCTATGGAAAACAAAAGGTTTATTGTGTAGTTCAAGATTCAAATTTAGACGTTGAAGAATTGATGAGGATAGATAAAGAATTACAGGCACATGCCAATGAAGTTGAGAGTAAATATCAGGAATTGGACAAAGAGATTAAACTTCAGGAAGCTTTATTAATATCCATAAAATCTAGCATCACAGTTGAAGAAGCACAAAAGAAAAAAGCTGAACTTGAAGAAAATATTAGGATATTGACAAACAAACTGGATAATTTGATGGAATCAAGTGGTATTGAAGATATGAGTGAATCTAAAAGGAAAGCAGAGAAAGCAATAAATGAGTATTCACGGGAATATGTGAAACGAAAACGTTTGTGTACTGAAATTATAGATTGTATATTGGAAAACTATCCTGGTAGTAAGACTGATTTATATAAAGAGATAGGTATAGAACCAAAAATTGTTCAATAACTTCAGTAGTATTCTTTCTACATTTATTTTAATATTATCGTATATACTGTATTTGTACATGAATTTATATTTTTATACTTGAAGTAAGCTTCATACTTAAAATATATTTTTATTAAACAACTGCACTATCTGAAGTGATATGAATAGTTTTGTAATTTAATATTAGTGTACCATATATAATTGTCTATTTAAGTCTATTAGAATAAGTTAGAGATTAGTATCTATAAGAGTATCTATGTAACAAAAAAAACAAAATGTAAAATATATTTTTGTGTATATTGATTGAAGCGTATTTTCAATATTTACTGTTATCTGTGTAATGTATTTATTAATGATATTGTTATACTTGTAGGTAAGGGTGCGTAATTACCACACAGATATGTGGTAACACACGAGTAGATATATTGTTATATTAATAATATCACACAAGAACATACAATGCCATACAATGCCTTACAATGCCATGAGGCTCCCGGGCCGCTCAGCATACCCAGGCCGGACACATACGGTGTCGCGTTTAACTCGCTTATCTCATCACAGAAAGCGAAATGTATATAATACTGTTTTAATAATGTTTTTATTGGTGGAATGAATATTGGTGGCAATTTGATTGCTTCTTATCTCGCGGATCACACGTAATGGATAAAAGATGCTAACCAAGCTAGACATTTGCCATTCAAATATGTTACGAATTATTACGTTTTTCACATAATACCCTAATATTTTATTACGCAGAATGTTTGGAATAATCGATTTATGTAATAAAAGTATTTTATTCCATAATATTTCAATATCATTAATAAAAATAAGATAATTAACTTTGAAAACTTAGAAGATACAAAAAACTTGTTAACATCTATACTTGTAAATTAACATGTGTTTTATAACATGTTATAAAATTAACATCTACTTGCCGAGGCTTCGCTGGGCAGAGCCTCGTCTCCATTGTCACCTCATAAAACTGTCATTTCGGCTCGCTCAACCAGCCGAGCCGAGCCGGTGAATCGTTGGCTTCCGATACGGCTCGACTACCCATTACCACCTACGGCTCGTGGGGAGATTTCGATTCTCGCCGAACGTAGGAAAAGAATGGCGCGACCGACAGAAATTCGAGAATGAAACAATATTTACGTACTAATGTGTGCAACGATAAACCTTTTCTATTCGTACTTGTAATGATGCATATTTACTAATTAATGAAATTACATGCGAGAGATACTTGAAATGGTATTCCCGAGAAACAATATTTATTTATCATTTATTGACATAATTGACGCAGGTATTATATACTTACATACATATTTCATAAAAAGGACGCAAAAACAACAAAATTAAACGGATACGCTCTGTCAATCTTACATTCGTCGCCCAGTGGAGATAGATTTTGTATTAATAACTGATTGCTGTCGCATGCGTACTTAGCGTATCATCTTCACTGCGCCCACACCTGTTCCACTACGCACTACCTTTTTTCTCACAACACACACATCTACCGTACTTCAAATCTGTATCAAAGTTGTGTGTTTGCATCAAACGAAAATGCATACAGCAAGGAGAAAAAGCTAGAAGGATTAACTTATTAGATGACGTGTTTTCATTACTTCGAAAAAATTACAATTGTTGAAATAACGAAGAAAATAGTAAAAATATTAAGGAAGTTCTTTTTTCATTTTTTTTTATGATCTATAGTGAAAATTTTAGACATACCTCTTATACACTTAATTAAGATAAAAGTGGTTAGACTTACAAGTTAGAGTTACAAATAAATTACAAAACTAAAAAACTTGTACTTTCGACTTATAAAGCTGAAGATTTCTTACTACTTCGGTGCCCGGAGCTTGTTTGTTTTGATTGACGAATTTTGTTATGACTGGGCCGGATAATGGTGGTCTGACCTAGGTCACTCTGAAAGTCACCATCGGGTGACGATCGAAAACGAAGAGACAGTAACACTGTTTTATTGAACGTCGACTAGAATGGTCATGAAACCAGCTTTCAATTTCCCTATTGTTATTAAGCAGAATTAGCGATATATATGCTGTTACGCTGCTTTTTGACAACGTAACGCGACCGCTCCAAATTCGAGCATGGAGCGTATTGCATATGGAACCGGACCGGTCCGGCGCACCGTCCTCTGCCCCGCAAAGCGCCGCTCAGAGACGCACTCGCAGGCACACGAGCGCTCCTAAAGGAATCACGAGAACTTGCGAACATTTTGAATAGCGACTAACTGCGTCTTTTACGCGCCAAGCAACTGCGCACAATTACAGGGCTGTAACAAGCGTGAGGCGACACCCGACTCCGGAACCGTTTTCCCCCACCCTGACCAGGAGCCGCCATTGGATATTTGATGTCGGCTGACTATTGGTATTATTTGGATTATTGGGATAAGGGTCTTCTGCCCTACGAGAGGACCACACCGCCAAACAACGGTGGAGGAGCCGACCTCGTGAGGCGACTGGCCGACTGGAGAGTCGGCAAACACCTGTACCAACGGAGTAGAACCACATTGGCACGTGAGGTCTGGAATAGTCTGGATGCACCGGACCCGGGAATTTGCCCACCGAGCGTGGCGCCAGTACGCACACGTGGTGAGATATCGTGTGAGCAAGGGGCGTGGCTTGCATGCAGACAACGGTGGCGCGGGAAACCAATGTCTACTGTAATTCTTTCAATTATTCTACGTGTTTATTGGTGTTTATACGGACCAGACCACCCTGTAGTGAAGTCTACCCGTGAGTCGTGAGTTCTATGACGAACCTTCCGCACTGGTGGAGCCGTCTTAACGTGGGTCGAGTCCTCCGTTGTCGCATATAAATGGATATTTGGTCCACACTTGATCACCATAGCCGCGTATATCTGTGGCGGAGATGTGTGCAGCTAGTTCTACCGCAGCTAGTCCACTTGGGAGAATTTTCGGACTTATTTTCCATATTAATTGATTATAACTTTCATTGTTGTTTTGATTGAACCCATCAAAACATCTCTTTATTAATTCAGGCCTGGTTAGGTCCACATATATGGGTTTAATTACAACCAAAACATCTTGTGCGAGAGCCTTATAATCGTGCTTATAATCTCTAAGTTCACCGTTTGCCGAAGCGCACTGCCAGGTGCACTATGATTCAATTCCCATCGGGCACTTGTTGTGATCGTAATTATAGTGGAAATCTGTGGCCCATATCGCACCATACATTTGTTCCACTGAGTGACAGTTTCTTCGAATTAGTAATCCGTAATATACTGATAATTTATCAATCATTTTTCCTGTTAATTTGTTTTTTCCTTCAAGTCCTTTATTTTTCCTTTTACACACGCAACCGACTTCCCATTCGTTTCTGCACGTGCCCTATGCACTCCTTTTTCGTAATATGAGTATCATCATATCATAAGGGGCCGCATTGGTCTACGACGAAACAACTGATACAGTGACTAGCGGCTGTCAAGCGGCTACCGCTGTACTTATCTAGCCGATGCGCCCGAGCAGAGCGTATATTTTGAACGTCTGTAACTCTGTCATTTTTAATTGGATTACCTTGAAACTTGCATAGAATATTCTCGAGATGTTGTACTTAAAGAAAATGTAGAAAGTGAAAAATCGATTTTTGAAAATTTCTGACTGAGCATGATCCCTTAAGACACGTGTGACGTATAAAAGTGAAAATTCGCGTATTTACCTACCTCTGACTATGTGACTATCTCCAGTTATTAGATACCAAGCAAACAATGTTTAAGGTTATGTTTACTACAAACGTTATAGGTTTTCGTAAATTATTAAAACTACATCATGAAATTGCAACATGTTCAACAAATTTCCTCTACACAAGTAAGTACTTTAAATAGAAAATACGGTGTCAGTATCGTAAGTAATGTGTTATTCATTATTTCAGATATTCAAGTATTATTTGCAAAGAAAGATGAAACTGAAAGTCCAAGAATGCGTGAATTTAGAAACAAATTACGAGAACGAACACCTATAGGTACATTACCATTTAATATGGAAAGAATTTTCTGAAATATCTAATTGTTTGTTAATAAAATAGCATAATGTGATTATTAACAGAAAAATTAGAAGAGCTAGAAGAAGGAAAGCACCCTTATCAAGAGAAAGAGCCCTTAAAACCGTTTCCAAATAATGTAAATCCTAAAACAGGTGAAGTAGGAGGACCAAAAGGACCAGAACCAACTCGTTATGGAGATTGGGAAAGAAAAGGAAGAGTCACAGATTTTTAGTTAGATAATACTTTCTGTGGAAAAATATCTATTAGAGTCCTGTAATGTAATGTAATGTAATGTATATAGGTATGTATATGTATAATTGTAAATTCTATATTATGTTTTACTAATTTAGAAAATTGATGTACACTATAAAGAATGTGAAAAAAATTATTTTAAACAAAGTATTTGCTTTAAACATTTTTCATTTTTTCAAATTAAATACCTTGTAATTTTATTTTTAACATTATCAAACACTTTTATGCAAGTGTAACAAATTATTACTATGACAAATACATTATGTCATAGTGTTGTGTGACATTTTATGAAGAAATATAAATATTAAAATTTTGTGATTTATAAATTTAAAAATTGCATAAACATATTTCTACTGTGTTTTGTTAAAGATTAACAAAAACAGTAATACTGCATAACCCTCCACTCTTTTCCTAAATCATATCATTAAGGTATCCAATAAAAGTATTTTTAATTTGGAGTTGTTTTTACCTTGTGCCAGCATGAACATGTGCAATTGTTTGAATAAAATTTCTGTGAAACCATTATTATATAAATCCAGACAATTAGCAACAAGTATGTAACATATAAAGTAAGATTTACAAAATAATTTTAATTGCTTAATCTTATTGTATTTTTCCATACTATATATAGGTGTTTTATTACAAGCAAAGGAATCAAAAGTAAAAGTTGAAAAGGAGGAATCTCTGAGAATGAAACAGTTTCATAAAAAACTGAAATTGCAACCAATACCAAGTAAACAAAATGTTTCATTTTTACCATCAATACTAAATACTATAAAATTACTATAAAAAATTCAATAACAGAAGTGCCACCAAAAGAACGTTTTGTGGATTTGGTATTAGTAGAAACTGACCCAAACAATGGAGAATTAATAACAAACAGTGAAAAAGATCCAACAAAATGGGGAGACTGGCAACACGGTGGCCGGGTGAGCGACTTCTAAATCGGAAACTGCATTAAATATATTCAAATTTTGATTTGAAGATAAATGTATATCCAAAGTATAAGAAAAAATAACAATCTATAAAATTCAGAAGGTTAATTATAGATCTTACTTTTGAACTGAATGCATATTTTCTCACTTCTATATAAAATTTTATTCCAATATGCTGGACTGTCAATGCTAGGTGAAATAATTTAAATTACTTTTCTTAGTGATCACAAATAAAAAATTGTCACATTATTTTAACAGTTAAAGTAAAGAATAAGTATTAAAAGAAAACACGTTAATGTACACAAAAACTGAGCATAAAATTGTAAACACTTATTTACTACATAACGGTAAAACTTATATAAAGAAATATTTGTTTAAACAGTTATCAATAAACCGTGATATATATAATACAAACTTATAAGCAAGAATATTAATAACACAGCATTTTGGTACAAAAACTGTATCATATATTTTTACACAAAATATATAAAACCTAATGAATTAATCATTAACCTACTACATGTACACATAAAAGTAACGAATAAATTCAATCGATTAATTTTTGCACATGTACTAATTTTTTTCTAAGGAAAACAATCTTTTTATATAAATGGCACGCATGACGCATACTTTTTGATCGCAAGAAATTAATGGAATGTATACACAAATTGGTAATAAACGTAATTAGTTTCATTGATTTTATTATTTAAGTAATGAATTTATTCTCGTACAAACATATTATATTATTTCGATTCATTCTTGATAGTAAATGTTACAGTCAAGATTATCGTTTGTTAGATTTCTCAACAAAATTTTATACCATAAAAAGTTAATTTCGTATTATCTTCTGTACAGTTTAATGGTATTTTAAAAATATTTAAAAGACAATGTTATAAACAAATATTGATTATTGATTACCTTCTTCCTATAAATGTTTTGTAAAAAAGTGAATGAACGTATTATTACATTAAAAATGTTGTATAACATGGAATTAAAATTCAGATACACTAATCCTCTTGTCTACTTCAAATTATTTTTCTAAAGTGCATCATTTTATATTTACAATACAAGTCCATATCGTAGTATGAATACAGGAGTTTTCAAGTCACACTTTTATAATATGCGTTACACAAAATACAAAATTTTGTATGAAAAGTTAAAATTAAAATAGCGAAGTATGTACAAAATGGCGGTCCTTACAATGTTAACGTTTTCGTTCTACTCCTATCAGATCCATAGACGATGTATTGAAAATAATGCTTACAGCATTTTCACTTAGTGAAAATTGAAACGTAAAAGAAATAAAATGTTTTCGCTAAACGTAATTTTCCCTAAATACTTTGCAGATCTGGAAATTATGTAATATTAAATTCGCTTCTTCAGTTCTCTTTAATTACGGCATAGAAATTACTAATGAAATGTGAAAGACAAATAACCTAAATGTATAAATACACTGAAATTGAAACAGTAATTCTCAGTCTTCATCTTAGCATCGACGGACCTGAAAATTGTAGTTTTAAGGTAGCATCGAATATTAAAGATGATAGATTTTAACGATTTATAAACTATAAAGTTTTATTGATGGCTAACACATCTCGCATCATCATGTTCCTTAGTGTCCATAATGCATTTACTACATTCCCATGGTTGCCTACACCGTTACCTAGCCATTCAGCAGGCAATTTCGTTACATCAGGAATTTGTGTATTATCAGAATTAGCATTCATCTGTTTATCCCAATTTGATATGTACCGGTTTTCTACGTTTAATGCTTCGATGTACCTACGAATCAAATATGAACAAAATAGTTTTCAGAATGTTCCACAATAAAAATAATTTTAGTTTATGTATGAATATTAACAAACTATTGTTACCGTAAGTAGGCATCTGAATGTAATACACGGCTTGGTCGTGGAGGAACAGCAACAAACATTGGTTCTGGTTGTTTAGCGGCAGGGATATTGCTTGTTTGTGTCGCAGCTGCCGATGTTTCTATGAAAAAATTACGCTTACTTATATAAATACTACTATATGCGTTATAAATATCAATATAAAATTATTAGAAATCAATTACCTGTTTCCATTGGTGGTAATATTGTTGGGCCTTTTGATGGCATATAATTTCTGTAATAAAAAAAATGAAGTTGAAGTGTATATTTACAAGCTTGAATTGCAGTTTTATAATTTTGAAAACGTACTTGCTTCTTTCTGAAGGGGGTATTATACGCCCATTCGACTTAAGAATATGTACTTCCTTAACGTGTCTTGCAAGTCTTTGTACACTTGGGAATGGAGGTACCGATTTTTTTGTACGGCCACAACCACGCCACTGACATTGAAATTCTACGTCTGTAGAGAAATAAACACCGTTAAGTTTTAATAAGTTTATTCATCTCTATTAGTATTAAAATAATATAATACTTACCACTAGCAGCATTAATAAAAGATGATTGTACATGTCCATTTTGTTCAGCAATACAATGATCAATACAATCAGTCATATCTTCAAATTGCCAGTCACAATTGTCCCAGCAACATTCATATACTACATCTTGTAAAGAATTAGTACCCACTGAAACAGATGTTCCTTTAAGTTGCCCTCCATCTTCATTCATTTTGATTGCTCTTTCTTCCCATGCTTGTTTTTCTCCAGCTGGCAATTTCCTCCACTGAAATAGAAGAAAAATATTTATTTTATGCTATTTTTTGTATAACATTTTGATATTTTGTAAATACAATTTTTTCAAACCTTTTTCACAGTAGAACATAATAAAATGATAAAAGAAACTATTTTATACCGTGGCTACCATTCATTGACTATACATAAAAATGAATGTTTAATTTAATGTATAGTAAAATATTAATATTATGTCAATAGTATGTAGTATATTTTCGAATATTTGAGGGATATTTGGATGGTAACCTTGAGAAAAATAAAACTTATTTGAAGGAAGGATGAAGCATGCAGAATTTTATCTTCTGGATGATTCTCATGACATCATAATTGGAAAACTTAATCTGCATACTTTCCTTCTTCAATAGATGCTTATAATAAATAAAAATGAACAGTAAAAAATAAATAAATACCTCGTTGCCAACAATTCTGCTAATCTCCCCAAAGGATGATTCGGGATTGTTTTGCGTAATCTGCGTTCGCATTTTACTCGAATACAAAATATAGCCCGTAACTAATTTCTTACCCGCTGTTTTCTAAACAGAAGAAAACAAATTTATAATGCCATCGTCTCATGAACGAATCTTGACATTTATACCTTCAAAGGTAAGATATCTCTAATTGTCATTCTAATGTTAGGTAATAAACGGTGCAAAAGTTTGAAAAAAGAATATAAAAGTATGCTGGCATATTTCTCTAAACAAAAATAAAAATGAAATGAATAAACTGTAATATGTGAAGAAATGGTAAACAAAGAATGTCACGATAAGGCCTACCTTCTTAGTCGACACAGGTGTTTGAGTATTGGAGAGCACCGGTTGAGCTTCTGCAGATCCAACGGACGGTGGACCACCAGCGTCCATGCTGTCCTCCCCAACTCCTACTCCTACTCCCACTCCTAATCCTACTCCCATGCCTAGTACATCGGGTTCCAGCTTCGGTAACAATGGTGATGCTTCCTATACCATGTATGTTATGTTACGTTCATTATCCGTTACCGAATGTAATATATCGTGAATTATTTTTTGAATATTTTCTATCAGTATACCAATCTTGTATGAATGCCATTTTGCTGTGCGAAACTTTCCCTAATCAGAAATATTGTGGGATGGAGTATTCATAAGGTCCACATTAATTGTGACAAACTTAATTTTAGCATAAAAGGTTGCGATGTTTTACACATCATTTGCAATGTAATATTTTAAACTAATACGATAGTAAATATAAAACTTTTATGTTTTATTCTAATTCTTTGAATGTATTCTAAGACCATGTATATTTAGATATTAGTACTGTATGCATTCCGTTCAAAGCAAAATGCTTCCGTTTTACATTATTTGAGTTACAGTGACATGGAAGCAAGACTTTTTGGTGGTATTCTATATATAATCATATATATGTATATATGTACTAGATAAACCCAACAGGTGCTCTGAATTTAAATCGATGAACAATAATCGCCATGTAAGTATTTTCTATACAAGCACTATACAGAAATTCTATACAAAATATATATACATGTGTGTGCGCGCGCGTGTGTGTGTGTGTGCGTGTACGTACGTAAAAACAAAAGCAAAGAGAAAAATAATGAATATGCCGGCATAAAATGAGAAACATGCTCAGATACAAATTTTAATGAGATTTTCATCACACGCAAATTGTACTGATATGCCAAAATACAGTCCTAAGTTGGCCTGGTAACACTTGATGATATTAATAACTTTCACACGAACTTGCGTATGACTTTAAAGGAACATGCATCTTTGCTGTATTACTAACAGAAAATAAGAAATCTATAAGATGAAATTACCATTTCAAATTGAGTCGAACTAGGAGTAACAGATTTGACTTGGTTTTGCGTCTGAGCCACATCGCCCGGAACCTACAACACACACGGCACATGCAAAGCAATGATATTCAGTTAGTTGCATATTAAATATAATAGGTTACTTATTGTTATCATATTATTGCATTCTTGTCCCAGCTTTTTCATAAGGCTTTTACTTTCATCGTATAATGATTCGCAAATATATACATCGTCCTCTGGAATTTCTGTAGGTCGACCTACACAAATACCAAACTGTTATTGAACTATTACATAAACTCATTATGAAATGTATATTTATCACTTTTAAATTCACATACTTTCGATTAAATGTCTATTTATTTACTTACTACAAATGTACTCTCCATAGTCAATTACCGCAGATTTCCCAACAATAGCTACAATAGGATGAGTACCATCAACAGTAGATAAGAAAAGTTCTTGTTTATAAAACAATTTTGTGGGTGTATGTGGCACTTCTGCAGGCATTAATAACCATGGGCCTTTAAAGTAACACTTTCCACTAAAAGAAATTAAATAATTTGGTTTTAACGAATATATTAATGAAATATTATTTTTAGTAAAATATATTTTATAAGACATACTCTTTGGTCGACCATATAGCATCAATTTGTGCAATTTGTTGTCTACCCCCATCTGTTGCTACATAAACGAAATCTCCAGTTTTTACAGAACCCGCACATGTATTATATTGTTCGTAGTAAGTATTTTCTGTATCCTCCGGATTATATAGTATCACATTCTATAAAGTAAGATAATCTAAGTAAAACTTCTTGAATAAACACGAAGTTTATTTTTGCACTATATTGTAGTTTATTGCTGTGTGCGACTTACAGGTCGTTCCTTTTCAGTCAGTTTTTCTCCTTCTTCTAACTCTGCTATTTCTTCTTTATGTTTTTCTAGTCTTTCTTTATACACTGATATTACTCGCTTTGGTTCTAGTGGTTTTTCTCTTGGAACTAGTTTCAAATGATCTGGATCAAAATTCCAGACTTTGATTTTTTTAAAAGCTCGTGCTTTCGTAGAATATCGCGATTCACATACGTAAACATCTTTTTCTAAGAAACCTTCTGGTTGCATTCTAAAATAATCTTTAACACTTAGAACACAACACCTGCCAGCCACTTTTGCTAATGGTATAGCTACATGAGCGTCACTTTTGAATAATTCTTTGTCAAGAAATTTCCTAGAAGCTACATGGTAAGTTTCGCTTGGTCTATAAAATAAATTGCCATATAACATTTGCTGTCCTTCCGCATTTGTCCATAAACGTTCTATAAGAACTACACTGTACTCCATGCCTCGCTCAGTAGGTTCTATGTATGTGAAATCACCAGCCCTATATATTTCTTGATTAAAACTCATTGAACCACCATTATCACTATTACTTCCTTCTGTATTAGCATTTGTTTCTGAATCCTATGCAAAGAATCCAATAATATCAAATAAATAATAAATTATATTTTCCTTCATGTAATTTACATAAATAAGTGATACGTACTTTTGTCTCATTTCCATCGCAACTTTCTTCTTCATTAGGCAATGCTAGCTCCTGTTGTTGTTTCACACGTTTTAATTCTGCAACTTGAGCAGAGAGATCAAGCAAAGTATAGTTAAGTGCTGGTGAATGTAATAAATCTCCACCACGAGTCACATCATCACGAGTGCGCAAGAAAAATGCTTGCAACTCAACACTGTCTTCGAAAGGCTGTGAGTCTGTACGTGACAGCCTTCTAGCTCTTTCTAAACATGTAAACACATCTTCTTGAAACCGATCCAATCGTTTGTAAACTCCACGGTCTAATCTTCTTTTAATTAGATCCAATGATAATCCTCGTATTCTATTATTTGTAATAAAAACAGAATTATACAAATCAAATTGGCAAATAAAATAAATAATTTATGAAGTATATATATATATATAAGTATAAATTATTTCACATAAACTGGAGATAGCATACTTTTTTCCATCAACAATGTCATGTTCAGGAAGTTCTGCCATAGAATCTGAATAACACCTTCCTTCCTCATCTTGGTGGTTATAAAGAGCAGTGAAAATGGTTGCCAATATTTCTTGAACCGCAGCTGATACATCTGGTACACTTTCTTCATCTTCACTTAATTGTAATTTAGTTTGCAAAACTAATCTTTGTAAAATTAATGCATCCTAAAACATTGTTTCAACTAAAAGTTATGTTCCAAATTTATCGATGATATTCAAATTTTTATTTATTAAAATAACTAGAATTAATGCAATATTCAGAAACGAATAAAGTAATTCTTTACTTCTGTTTCATTCTTCTTGCACTTTTTAGATAATCGCTGATCTACATCCCTGTCTCTCATTAAACGAATAAAGCAAGGTCTAACTTTTAGTGTCTTGTGCACAGAAATATTATTTTCTTGATTATTACTATTTAATTGTTCAGACATTTTGAAGAGAAGTGCATACACATAAAAAACTCGTAAAGAAATTACAACATTTATTAAACTTGTAAAATCACAACATTTAAATATCTACTAGGCTAGTTTTCGTATATTTAATTTATAATTATTAGTTTGACAGAACTGTATGTTCATGCTAATTATACTATTATATCTACATACAGATAAAAATCAATTGTTATTCTGTAAAATTCTTATATCAAATAGTATGAAACGACAAAGATACGAAGCTAGCTAACTTCACGTAACCTCAAAAATCATGACCGTAAACAGATTGAGCTTTCCATGTTTTAGCGCGAAATTTCAACTGCACTTCGTACATACACTTTTCTATGCACTGAACTTACTTCATATTTTTATTTGACATTATTGAACGAAACCATAAACATAATATTTGTAACGGTCTGTCTTTTTTTTAATATAGTATCTAAAGGAAATGTGAATAATTATTGTAAACTGATTTTCAAAACTATTTTAAAATAATTATGTATTTTTAAGAAATTTATCTTTTCCATACATTCAAAATGTTAAATTAACTGTTATTATTATATATATTCTTTTCGTTTTAATTACCCAATGATGAATAGCATGCATATATGTATTATTATACAAACCTTGTATATTTGTGAATCGGGTTCATTATACTTGCAAGCATTATCAAACATTAATATAAAATCCGACACGAGTTCATCTAAATTTTCGTAACCATTATTTTTTAACGTAGAAGCTATTTTTTCCATATTCATTGGTTGTTTGATGACTTCGTAGTAATCTGGGTATTCATTTTTATTTGGTAATTTCATAAAAATTAAAGATAGCTGCCTTCCTTTAGCATCATGATAATCTTTTATAGTGTCATACATAGTTCTTAATTTTTGTAAGTGTAGTGGTACAACCTTTTTGGGTCTCCTATAAGGAATAAAAATATCAAACTGCATACAATTTGTTGATAAACAAAGTTTTGTTACGCAAGTATTTTAGTTACATAGAATATTAACTGTATACAGGGTGTCCCAAAAAGATGGGACAATCCGCAATATGTATGTATGTTTATATGAGGAATACCTCATGTAAATACAAACCAAAAAGTCGTTTACGGTTTTGTAATTTGAAGTTCCATTTCTAAGGTATTAGCAGTTAAACGAACTCCAATCAGCTGAGCGGTGGGCCACACGCCACACGTACGCACAGACACAGTGAAGAAGCGCACGATCCTAATCACTGGCCTCTTCTTCTTCACAGTGTCTGCGGGTACGTATGAGTTCGTTTAACTCCTAATATTTCAGAAATGGCATTTTTTTGAAACACCCTGTATGTTCAAATATCACAAATATCTTATGAATTAGATACTGCTTTTTAACATTTACATACCCGACATTTCTAGTTGGTGTAGATGCACTTGACTTCGTAGGTTTAGGTATCTCTGGTAAAGGACCTAATTCTCTTACTTTATCCATCAGGACTTTTTCCAAAGTATTTGCATCTTCATATATTAAAGAACCTTCTTCATTGTACTGACGGCAATTATTAAACATTAACTAAAAATAAAAGAATTGATATAATAAAACGTACAATTCAAAATAAAGTACATGCAACAATTATGTATCATATACATTTTTTTTTCTTATAACAAACTTTAATATATACCTTAAAATCTTGTATTAATTCGTTTTCGCTTTGATATTTCTCTGCTTTAATATTGGCTTCAATGGCTAACATATCAATGGGTTCTGCTATTACTTGATAATAATCAGGATATAATTTTTTTGAAGGTTTTTCCATAAACATTAACATTGGTTGTCGGCCGTCTTCACACTAGAATACAGTGACAGCTTTTGTACTGTTAAGTTTGTATTTTAACAGTTCATGTTGGAATTACTTACGACGTATTCTATCACACATTTAACTAATGCATACAATCTTTTCTTCAATGGTATATTGTCTTTATATTTTCCACGGGTTAACAGATTTGAAGCACGTTTAATGAGTTTTGGTTGATGAGTGCTATTTTCAAATTCACTATCTGAGTCTGAGTCCTATAAAATATAATGCATATTAATATATGCACATTAACAGACATATAAGTAATAAAATGTATAAGGATACAAGTATATGAAACCTAGAATCCGTGGAACACTATATCTTTATTTCAGTAAAATTTTGTTTACCTGATCAAATTCTAAGAGTTCTTGCACTTTCTCTTGCATTATTTTTTGCAATTTTACAGCACACTAAAAAATGAGAGTATAAATGAATTATAAAAAGTAAATGCATCAAATTTTTTCAACCAATTAATGTTTATTACCTTATACAATCTAGATGTGTGAATATTATATTTTTTTGCGTTTTCAAACATAATATTCATATCACCAGCTACTTCACTAACTGTACCATATTCACCTTTCTGTAATAAATTATAAATGACATAAAAATCACTTAAAAATGTAGAACATATACACATGTAATGTTTATATTAATTACCTTTATCTTTGTGCGAATTTGCAATAGAGAAATAGGATTTTTAATCATTTTGTAGTAATCAGGGTACAATCTTTTCGATGGGAGTTTCCAAAAGTATTCACTCATTCTAACTCCTGTATAATAAAAGATATTTTATCATTATTATAAGTATAAAATATTGTCTAACAAAGTACTTTATCAATAAGGACAATTTAAGGAATACAAAAACAATTCAGGGACTAATAAACTACCTAAAACATATCAAATTATACAATCCATTATGAATACATCTAAACATGGTATTATTAATGCTGCTAATAACCCAAACAAGTGATTGATGCAACCATAAATAATAGAAAAACAATGATAAAGAAATGTTTTTGAAATGTGTACCTTGATTGTTGGGTGCTGTTCGGATAGTTTGAAACAGTTGCCATTGCGGATTATCAGCTTCCTCGGTTTCTGCAGGCTCTTCTTCTTCATCATCACTCTCTTCATCTTCATCTGGCAATGCTGCAGTTTGAGCTATTAAGGATTGTGCCATAGTGCGACTTCCTCTTTTACTTCGTGTCGATGGAGCAGTTGATGTAATTTTTGGAAGATTGCTACTCAATCCAGTATCCTGTTTCCTTGCAGCCGCAGTAATAATCTTTTTTAACAGTTTAGCATCTTTGTAAATTTGAGAACCAGGTTCATTAAACTGACAAGCATTACGACACATTAGCATTAAATCTTTTTCTATGTCTGCAATACTGCTATAAGCTCCCTCTTGAATTTTCCTTGCAACTGTTTTCAAGTCTACTGGTGTTTCAATTACATCATAATACTCAGGATATAACTGTAAATGTAATATTATTTGTATAATACATTTGTTTGAAAAAACTGATACATTAATATTTCACCAATAGGAATTTATCAAACTTTTTTGGATGGTTTAAGTTGAAACATTGTATGTAATGGCCTATTGTTATCAGCTGGATCTGTTGCTGTAATAACTGCTGCAAATAAATCTTCAAACAGCTGCATTGTTTCTTCATCAGGATTTGTGGAACTTTCAGATGTATCTTCTGCATCATCCTGTTTTGTTACAGCTTTCCGAGCCTGTATGATAGACATGAAAAATTAGTGTTAATTTTCACTAACTAAAGAACACAATATCATGTGTTCTTTATATTATTCAATATATTTGATATTTATTGAATATCAATATCACTTACCAATCTTGCTACTTTTAATATAATTTTTCCTTTAGGTTCTGGATCTTCGTATTCTTCCGTAATACGATTTTTTGTATTTACACATAATTCCCAAAGTTCTGTGGCATCTTTGTATTCAGGAGATGTACGCTGTTTTCATAAAACCATTTATGTTTATACATTAAAATTACATATTCCCTCATATTTATATACTTTGTATAGTCGATAATTGAAATATAATGAATTGTACATTTAATTAATTACCATATAAAAAGCTTTGGCATTATTAACCATAAGTTGAATATCAGCTGCTAAGTCATCCATATCTCTATATTCATCAGTTTTTAGTTTTTGTTGAACTTTTAATAGATCTATAGGATTTGTTACAACTTCATAATAACCTGGCTCTTGTCTGCGTTTAGGCACACGTATAAATGCATCACATAATAATGTTCCATCTTCCTTTTTCTGATTACGCAATACATCATACAATTGTTGGCACAGGTCACTCTAAATATATTCACTCAGTAATTAAAATTTAAAGAATTTCTATCTTTTATAATAAATAACAACTTACAGGATCTAATTTTTTCCTCCGCTTTGTTGGTTCAGGTGGTATATCATCACCATCATCTTCTGTACCTCGACTCGCAACTGAAGATGTCCTACGACGCTTGTGCATCTTGAATAATCTTAAAAAATATGAAAAATAAACATATACACAAATACAAATAACGTCAATATCCTGTACTAACACAGAGCTACTACATCATAATCCCACATCTAAGTCATAATGTCACTGTACAGAATGTACACAGAAAAAGTCTTTGACTACATATTGTGCCTGACCAATGCAATAAAATTAGATCACTTGAAGTACACAAAATCGGAGCACCACCAAAAACCTTACGAAAGGAATTTCATACACGATATACATATATATATACATATATATATATATATATATATATTTGCCGAACATGTAACTTTACAAAGAAATTCCTCTGCGTACGTATTAGGTATGAAAGTAATCAAGATACACAACTGCAGTTAAGAAAAGTTCGCCGCCATGACATGTCGCCACTGTGCTTCAAACTGCAGAGATGCATAATGTTACAATTTTTTGATGTAACATTACAATTAAATGCAGTGTAAACTGAAACTAAACATGAAAATTGCAACACGCTCACACTAAATAGAACAACCGTCAACACGCCCATCAAATAATGTCAAAGTTTACAATAAATCTCTGTCTAACTAAAATTTGCCGCCATATCAAAACCTCACTGCATCTCTGAACACTGTTCCTCTACAACTATTATTGGTTTCCTTCACAAAACACTCGTACTATCGTTTTCCGGGATCCTCACCTGCCGTTAAAATTTGTACAAAAAATTTTTCTTTAATATACATGTAAAATAATAGCGTTATAAATATTGAACGCCTTTTATCTGCCACACACTGACACACGACTTGGCTAACGCCATGCCGTAAGCCGTAAGCCATAAGTAACCAGGGTCTGGAGTCTGGACACTCAAATGGGCTGTTTGTTAACACGGTTTAGTTCGTAAACCAATTTACGAGAGAGCGCTGTGCTCAATTTAATGGCAGAATTGCGCGCTAGGTGGAGTTGGCAGATGCCATTGTTGCGATCCTCGCTCATGCCACGTAGCGATATATGTCATAAGCTCCAGAGGCGCGAAGTTTGAATCGAACGACACATGTAATAGGAAAGGAGGGCAAAGGTGAAGTTGACACTAATTGAAGAAGCGTGAAACCTGTTAGAGATCCTTTTAATAAACGCATTTCAAGATTATAAAATAATTAATATTCATTTATTAACGAATGTTTAAACATTTGCCAGTTGCCTTCGCCTCCTATCCTACCACTCAGAATCATTGCAGATATGTAAATCGCTCGTTATCGATAACCGGGAAGAAACGCATCAACGAATCAGGATAAATCTTAGAAATTAATAATTATGGATTGGTCAGTAGTAACTAAGGACATTTTGTAATTAAACAAAAAGGTGTATAAAGAGAAATGAAAAGACATTCATTCCATCGACAACATTGTAACGGAAAGGACTAATATAATTACCTTTATAAATTAAATTTGTTTTCCTTTTTAATTAGTTTAAATCGTTTATCGTAATAGTTTAAATATAGTTCCAAAGTTTAATTTAAATCTCTATTGCAATTTATTATTATCGTTATAATTTCCTTTTATTTACAATTATCCATAAAGCTAACTCGTTTCACTTTTAAATTACATTGAGACTCAGGAATTCCCTGAGGGCCCACGCAACACCATATTGTAGCGGAAATATAATTTTATTAACAATATTTAATAACTTTTTATTATTTGCAATTTATAATTTTTACAATTATTTCAATCTCTTAACTTCTTGATGATCACTAAGGGAATGTTATAAACAAGAACATTTTATGGAAAAATTGAATACATATTTAAAATTGTCCACAGAAATATACAGCAAGCGCCGTCTAGTGTTTTCAGTGACGTTCACTAACCAGTTTCCACATATGTAGGATGGGCTGGGGGTCACTTAACCCCAGGACAGTTCTACAGTAGACATTTGTTTCCCGCATTAGTCGGGGCTGTAGCGAGCTAGAATTCCACGAACCGTGCGGAAAGCAGACGCCAGTTAACCAAGCGCTTTCCCCACCACTCGGTCGTTCAGTCGTGCGGCGCAGCACATATAGGGTGGGCTGGATATGCGCACTTTACGGCTACATTAATTATCTCCGTTATTTTTAGAGATATCAGAAAAGTTTATTCACAGAAGTTGTTCAGTATAAAAAGGTCTATTACCACAGACGAGATATAAGAATAGACCTAACATGCAATGTAATTTTCTGTCCCATGCTTCGAGGGCGTCAGAAGCCGCCTTACAATTTCAGTGTCAATACCCAATGTCGCGTCCGTCCGCGTGGATTCTCTTTCGAATCCGCCCAGAGTTGTAAAATTTACAAGTCAGTGGCAGATCCATAGTAAGCCGTGACTCTATCTTCTACTCAATTCTACTGTATTTAGACAAATTCAGATAAATTATACAAAGCTGTTGTGTTAACCAGTGTTAACGATTGCGTTTCTTTCTTACGATGAAATATTGCACAACGTTTCTATTTATATAAGGTAATTTATTCATTTAAGCTTTGTAATTCATTACGTTACTATATATATATGATATTTATTTTATGATAGAATAACCTTGATGAATATGTACTTTTGAGGTTAAATTCTAACTCAAGTGGAATTGTAATAAGGATTTTAATTTCTAAATACGTATCTTTACGCTAGTTATATGCACTGTGTAACAAAATTATAAGACATCTAATATGATTAACAAAAATTTGATCCAAGTAAAATTTTCTTTCTATTCTGTGTATAACATTATGGTTTACTCAAATAGCAATGATTAAGAGTATAGATGAATAGGCAAACATATTCTCTCAACTGTAACAGAACGATAAAACAATCATTCAGTAGAAGTCAACAACATTAAGAAGTAAAAAAGTATTTTCTTTAGTGCTATTTTTTCACATTAATTTCCAGTCTTATAAATTATATTTATGTTTGTATTCTCAAGGTTGTTAAAATTACAATGTAAGTATTTAAAAGAAATATATATTACAATGATGTGGAAAGAAAGAATTTGGTTAAACTTTGCTTCCCCGGACGAAAAATTATCGATTTTTTTTACCTCCTAATAGTATTCAACGAGTAGAATCTGAAAATGCAAGTGTTAAGTTTAAGAATCCAGCGGTTCAAAAGTTATGTGTATTTAAAACCAAGCATTTTTAGCGTACTTTACAGGTTAGTTTAACGCCATATTGACTTCTATACGAAATTCGTCCGATCAGTGGTGTCACTGCTTGTAAGGAGATGCACGTGATGGCCGCCATTTTGGGGGGATAATTCAAATGTGCTTGCAAAAATAAATCCTTTATTCAAAGCAAAATAGTGATTCTTTGTTGGTTAGAACCTGTTTACGAAAAAAGAAAACACATTTATTCAAAGCGAAATACTGATTCTGTGATGGTTAGATAATAATAAAAATAAATAATCGTAGAAAGTCGTCTGTTGTTTTGGGAGAGGGGTGGCAGCCGCCCCTCCCCGCCATCTGAACTAGATCAAACTTACCCAGAATCGGTATTTCGCTTTGAATAAGTGATTCCTTTTTACAAGTACATTTGAATTATTCCGTCAAAATGGCCGCCGTCATGTGCATCTCCTTACAAGCAGTGACACCAGTTATTGGACGAATTTGGTATAGAAGTCAATATGGCGTTAAACTAACCTGTAAAGTCCGCTAAAAATGTTTGGTTTTACATACGCATAACTTTTAAACCGCTGGATTCCTAAACTTAACACTTGCATTTTTAGATTCCACTCGTTGAATACTACCAGAAGATATAAAAAAAAGTCGATAATTTCGGTCCGGGGAAGTAAAGTACAGCCAAGAATTTAATTGTTGTGCTATACTCATTAAAATTATAAGTACTATATAGTTACATTGTAAGATGTACATACATGAACATGTAATACAATGTTATGAATAAAATGTCATTGTACATATTTTTTCATTCGCATTAAGCCACATGTTAATATGATTATAATTAATTTTATAAAGATAAGATACATTCCGCATTAGTTAATTACATGCTTAGAAACTCTTAAAGTGATGTTGAAATAAAACATTAAGTTTTTCATTAAGAGTAATAGACTTACAAGCTACATCTATAGCTTGTATCATAGATGGTGATCCACAGCTGAAAACTCCAATCCTATTAATCTGAAATGTTTTATAAAATGTTAGCAATAAAATAATATTAAAAATAAGCATAAATTTTGGTATTACTTACTGTAGGATGTAATTTCTGAACAGACATGAGAAACTGTGAAAAATTTGGTTTTCCAAAATGTGTTATTGCTATTAAACCAGTGAATAAAGATTTGTTTGAAATTTTCTGAAAATGTCGTTCACAAATGTACTGAAAAATATTTCAGTTATTTACTTCTTTTCCTACTATTTTGTGTATTAAAAAATGAATTATTTTGTGTGTATGTAGAGAGAGATAGAGAGAGAGAGAGAGAGAGAGAGAGAGAGAGAGAGAGAGCTGTGTGCGTGCGTGTGTGTGTGTGTTAACTTAGTTTTGTAGATATCTTACCAGTAATATTGTTCGTAAGTCAAATTTCTGATAAAATTGTGTGATAAAAATATGAAATATTACAGTATTGTTAACATCTGCATTTTCAAGATTTCTTATGATATCAACCATCCATTCAAATTGTTTTTGTGTTCTTGTTACCCAAAGGAAATATACCTATTAATTAATGTCAAAATTAATTTGAAAAATTATTTCTTTTAAATGATATAGACTGTCGAAAGTACTTTTTTACATCCCAAATTTGATACATGGTTTGATTTGAATACAATATCCTTTAATATTGATGCAAATGGTGTAACTCCTATTCCACCTCCTATCATTATAGTTACATCATATTTGTACCAATCTTGGTGGCTGTCACCATAGGGACCAGCTATATGAATCTATTAGAAATAGATAAATATATAGGATCAATAGAGATTAATTAAATTTTATAATATGTTTAAATACCATTGGTAATGGTTGATCAGGTGTTATAGTAGGATCTAATCTATTCCTAATTTTAGTTGTCCATGGTCCGACTGCTCTAATGTGTATACTTAAATGTGTTTCATAAGGGGCAGATGATAGTGTAAATGGATGATATTCATTTGTTTCTAATGCAGGACATGCAATCTTAATCCATTGACCTGATTTATATTGAAAATTGGGTGGCTTAGGGAACACAATGCAAATCACATCTATAACAAATACACAATAAAAAATCTTTTCATAATTTTGAGCATATGCAATATAAAAAACAGGTATACTTCATAGTGATTTGATAAATTATTTTACCTGATGGTAATATGTCTGCCTTTAAGATAGGTATTTCGATTGTTTTTCTTGTCAGAGTAGTAATTTTATCGAATATAAATAAAGTTAGTGGACCCAGAAAAAAGTAATAGAAGAATGGTTCCTGTCATTCAATAAAAGTTATAATTTTTGAATTATAAAATTAAATTAGATTTTTATATTAATTTTGTGCTAAAAGTACTTGAACCAGCCTTCCTGCTCCATGTAATATTAGTAAAATATAGAAAATATAATATAAAGAATGTGTCATTGAAAACCAATTATAAAGTATTCTGCGTATATTTGGTAAAGAGCACAGGTATATTAATCCTGTTATTATAGTTAAAAGAATTCCTGTTAATCCTGTTATCGTTTGAAAACACCAGTAATGGAATTTAGGCAATTCATGTGTACTGAAATACAACTTTTGTATTAATTTGAAATTTCTGTAGTATTTACTGTAAAGTACTTACGCATGAAAGTAATTAGGAAACAAACACGTTAAGTCATCAGTATTCTGGGTTGAAATATGATAGAAGTTAAACCCATGACCAATTATATGAAGTACTAAAATTTTATGAAGTGTTAATATTAGTACACTTTGGTTGAATAATTGGTATTATATTTCAACTTCAAAAAAACAACACTGTTTACCTGTAAAAAATAATCCCCAACAAGCAATGTATTTATGCATTTCAATCATAGAATCGAAAGGTATATATAATTGTAAAATAGTGTCTCTTAAAATTGTAATTGTATTATGACACATTGTAATTAGAAGTATTGAGTATGTGAACATTACTCCAGATGCTGCACCTCTAGTAATTGCTAAACCGTATCCTAAAATATGTCTTAAACCAAAGTGTTCTTGTTCTATAGAGTAATCTACAATAATATATCAGTAAAATGTGAAAAATATTTTAAGTTTACAAAAATTTAAAAAACACTTACAATAAAATCTTTCTGTAAAAGTACCAAGAAGAATCAAGGTATACAAACATAGCCAAAATATTTGTAATTTTTTATTTGCAAGATATTTCATTGAAGGACACCAATAATATTGAGAATGTGGAACATGTTCAACAATTTTTTCATTTTCATGTATATTATTACTTTTTTCTTGATTTATATTTGATTTCATTTCACTGTTACCACCGATTCTTGTTCGTAATTCATTTGGATCTGCATATAAACTTTCTATTGTTCTCTGTACTTTTCCCACAAAAGTTGATTTGAACGTAGATGCTCCAATATGTAATTTTTTATGTTTTCCGTCTGTATTTATATTAAATTCTAATTCTGCATAGTTTAATTTATTCTCAAAATCACTAAGGATTTGTTGAAAATCTTGCAAACTTATAGTTTCCTTTGTTGCTATATTTGCATGACACATCATTGATTGCACTAAAGTTTCTAAATTATTATCAGTTACATCTGCATTAACTGTTTCCATGAGTGATCTAACAATATTAGTTAGGATAAAATTAAATTACTATCAAATATACACTGCATCAGTGTTATTTAATTGACATACCTTAACATATTTTTAAAATCTTCCCTTTTTAATCTCCCTGTTCCATTTATATCATACATATCAAACATTAGTTTTACTTTTTCTTCTACAGAACCTTTCAAAAATATAATTAACATATCAAGAAATTCTCTAAATGATATGAAACCGTTTTTATCTTTATCAACTAAATTAAATATCTGAAAATTAAATTTTAAACTTGTTATACATGTAACTTCATGTATAAAAACTAAAACGTTTTTACCTTTTTGATGAATTCCGAGTCTGGTCTCATACTTAGTGCTTCAGAAAATTCTATTAACGTTAATTCAGTGTAAATTACTTCTTTTGCCACTGCTGAATCTATTTTTAATATTTCTTCTTCTGTGTGTGTTATGTGAAGTGCCTTCAAAGTATAAAATGTGTTATTGTTAGTATATATGATATATGTATAACTTCATTCTAAATGATTGAAATTGAATGATATTCAATTGCTTGTTATATGTTATCTATTGTACCTGTGAAAAAACTACACGGAAAAATTGTTCTAATCGTTTTTGTCGACTTCTTTTGGTAACTGCTTGTTTTAACAATTCTTTGATTGTAATATTTACAATATTTTGTATCGAAACTGTGTTTAATTCTGTAATAAATTGCTTCATAGCTTGAAGAAAAAATGTTTTTAAATAGTCTGAGTCAAATTTTAAGACTAAATCATAATTATGATGCACTCTAAGCATAACATAATTGCCATCAGAAGTAATATACACCTGTTAAATAGTATAATATTGTTTATGAAATAATTCTTATTGTTTTGTTTATCTAAGATATGGATAAGTATTATACTGTATACCTTTATTATTTCACAATGCACCAAATCTATTGCTCGTATCATAAGTCCTAAGTAATTTTTTACTTCCAATTGCTGTTTCTTCATGTTAAAAACAATAATTATATGTCTCAACGGTAATTTTTTATCTTGCCATTCATTCACTAATAAGAGAAATTGTATTAACAATATGCTTTTCAATTGTATACTAAATATTTCAAAATTTACCAGGAAACATTGTAGTAGCTTGATCTGTTATTGTATGTGATTTCCTACACTTTGATTGATATTGGTTTTTTTTTCTCAATTTTAATCTTGATTGATAATACAGCAGTGTTATAAAACCTGTTAAAAAGTATATAATAAATGCCAACTCATTTTGTAGTAGTACATATCAGAAAATTGTATGTAAGCAGGATGTCTTACAACAAAAAATAGTAAATAATCCTGCAAATGTTGAAACAAAAGATATACTACTATTGTAGAAGTAATCATATGTTCCAGGCTCTGTACATTTATCAACTTCATCAATAGTGATTTGTTTAGCATGGTAACAAGATATACTTATATTATCAAAGTTTTTGCAGTTACCCTTCTGAATAACTTCATTTTTATAACAATCAGGATGGATTTCCTTATCTAACATAGAAAGAAATTTATATTAATATTTAGGAAAGCATTTAACAACTAATGTCAACCATACCTGATGTAGGTACTCTAAAAGGATTACGTGGAATATCATTATGATCCATTGTAGTAACAAGTATCAGTATGTCATAAAATGAAAAACGTTCCAGTCTTTTAATTTCATCATTAGTGAAGAGGCTAACATATATTATTGCAAATATTAATACGAAACATGTAGAGTAGAAACTTATAAAAACAATATTTTTTGGATTACAAATAACTTACTTATTTTTTGAATTTTTATACCAAAATCTGTCTCCAGCACGAATACGTTGAAATTGATCGAGTATAATAGCTTGAAATAATTCTCCAGGTCCATCGGTGGTTTCTAAAATTCCTCCTATCCATGTATCAACATTGTCAAAGGAAAAATTGTGTAGTTTTAAGAATTCCAATGAACTCTTGATATAAAATATAAAATAATAATAAAATGATGTTTAGTATAAAATGTAAATAATTATATTTAATTAAGGATAGATACACAACTTGAATACATACTTCTGGAGCTATATTTTTAAAGTGCGATGTGTTATTAACTGTGTGTAGATTATATGCCATTCGAGCAGTATTATAATCTGGAAGTCCATGATCACGTCCTCTTTGTATATTAAGTGCCATTAAGTCTCTTCTGGAAAATTCAAGTGGACCAAATAAACTACCTCTCAAGTCTTCCACTACTTTGTGGTCTTCTTCTTCACACAATTGAACAGTCATTCCCATTATCAAATGTTCTATATCAATAATTCCTTCCACCTTTGTCAAATTTGCAAAAATGGAATTCTATGCAAAAAGAGTTATGTATATTAAGACAATATTAACAACTATTAATTTGTTATAGTACCTCTGACATCCAATAGTTATTGCACGTTCTAATTGCTTGAGAATTCTGTTTTAGTTTACAACCATTTCTTCCATAGTCCCGCAAATAAACGCCTATTTAAAAAGTTGTTCAAATTAGTATGTTTTAAAATGAAAAATAACAGTAGATTCTGAAGTAGGCTGTGAAAACATATCTTTATATGTCATTGGAAGCAGTTGTTTGTATTACAATATGTGCAATGTTTAGCTTGTTAAAGATAAATTTAATGAAAAAGTTTTGAGTGATACCTGGTGGCACTAAAGTGTGACCAAATCGAAAAGCTGCAGCTTGGAAGAATTGATCTATTTGTGGGTCAATACTTGGATCGTAACCTTTTGAAAAATAATTAAAATTAGATAAAAGCGAAATTAAGCGGAATTCATGACTGCTTTTTATAACTTTTATAAAATGTGATATTTATAAATGAATTACCATTGTATGGAAGAAGATTTGTTCCCAACCATTGAGGTAACCATTTATTTGTAACGATATGTTGTTGTGTTGCTATTACCCACCTACGAGCTTCATTGTAAACTTTTTCACCAGGCCAATTGCGTTGTTGACGTCTTATATAATTTGCTATAAGATTATGCCATCTAAACCAAATTATACCAAAAGTGAGAAGGAATGGGTTTTCGTTTCCTCTTGGATTTCCTAACTCTAAAACATACAAGTGCATCACATTCGTTTTAATAGCTACAATTATTCTACTTAAAATGTATTTTTTGACTCCTTTGAGAAATACACTATTATCAAATATATTACGTATCTGTCAAAGAAAAGAATATAGATATGTAACGAAAATGAGTGTAAGAGATGCATTAAATGCAGCTCTCGACGAAGAATTGGCAAGAGATGAAAAAGTATTTATTTTGGGAGAAGAAGTTGCCCAGTATGATGGTGCTTATAAAGTAACAAAAGGTCTTTGGAAAAAATATGGAGATAAAAGATTGATTGATACACCTATAACAGAAGGTGGCTTTTGTGGTATAGCTATTGGTGCAGCACTCGCTGGTTTAAAACCAATATGTGAATTTATGACTTTCAACTTCTCAATGCAAGCTATAGATCGTATAATAAATGGAGCAGCTAAAAACTTATATATGAGTGCAGGAAAATATAATGTGCCAATTGTATTTCGCGGTCCAAACGGTAATGCTAAAGGTTTAGCAGCACAACATTCACAGTGTTTTGGTGCATGGTATATGGGCTGTCCTGGTTTGAAAGTCATGTCCCCTACAACCTGTGAAGATTATAGAGGATGTTTAAAAGCTGCCATTAGAGATCCTGATCCAGTTATAGTTTTAGAAAGTGAAGTACTTTATAATTTTACGTTTCCTGTATCAGATGAAGCTATGGACAAAGATTTTTTGATACCGATTGGCAAAGCTAAAATTGAAAAGCCGGGTAACCATATTACATTAACTTCACATGGCCAAGCGACCGTTTACACATTGCAAGCAGCTGAAATTCTAGCAGAGGAAGGCATAGAAGCAGAAGTTATTAATTTACGTTCTCTTAGGCCATTAGATTGGGACACAATTTTTACATCAGTTTCAAAAACTCATAAATTAATGACTGTTGAATTAGGATGGCCTACTTGCGGAGTAGGTTCCGAAATAGTAGCTACAATTATGGAAAATCCAGTATTTTTTCAGCTTGATGCCCCCGCCATTCGTTGTACTGGTATTGATGTACCTATGCCATATGCAGAAAATATTGAATATGAATGTACACCTAAAGATCATCATATTGCAGAGTTTGCTAAAAAAGTTTGTGGAATAAATATATAAATATGTTATCTATTTAAAAAATAAAATGTTACTTACTAAAAAATCTTTCGACTTTCTCTGTATAATGTCGCTCAATGTATTTGTAATGATGTATTGGAGGGGGTGGATTAAACATAGGCAATTTGTCAGTATTATATTCAGGATATAAGTTGTCATGAGATGCCGCTAATAACCCATTAGGATCAAAGGTTCCATTTGAGTAAGTTCTTAAAATATTTGACCATGCTTTGGAGGTACCATAAATGAGTCCACCATCCAAAAATGGAGTTATTTCATTTAACTGCAATATTAGCGTATCAGTTTGAAATTATGCATGTCCTTTGAATATTAAGTAAATAGTAGCTATTAAATTTAAATTGGAAACCTGTTGACGTGGATTATTAGGAGAATGTCCAGTTTCCCTATCGTAACGTGTACGTAATACTGGCATTTCAGAATGTCCAGGTTTTATTCTATAACGATGACCACTTGGAATTTTAATATTGAAGTATTCTGGTGGACATGCAGGTCTTTGTGCATCTAAAATTTCTTCTACAACGTGTTGTCCTGTTGATATTATTTTTATACTAACAACCACTTATAATTTAGAAAATTCTATACCATTTTGTTGTCATTAAATTTATTCTTAATAAATTCAATATTTTGCAGCATACCAAAAAATACAAGTAATGCATTTTTCCCTGTTCTGGATTTGGATCCAATATTACCACTAAGTAATTTGTCACTCAGCTCTAATGGTTCTGGTCTATTATGGCCTGAAGGCTTGTATACACCATCATCGTAGGCAGCTGGCCACCTCCTCAATAAAGGAGTATCAATTGCTCCTAATTCTGGTCGTCCAACATTGTTGTACCATCCGTCATACCCAGGATATTCTACTGTTTTTTCTTCGAAGTTTTTTTTGTTACAGTCATCTCCCCAACATCCAGTAAGCAACCATTCTAATAATCTCTGTTTATGATTCCCGAACTCGATCTCTCTTGGTTTATTATCTTCAAATTATTATTTTCGAATAATTCATTATGTGGTTAATATCTATGTTATTTTAATTATAATATGATACACTAAGAAATTATTTGAGATATTATGCTGTTATTGAAGTAGATACTTACAATTCAAATTAAGTGTAACTCCGGGATTATTATAAATATTAGAATTTGTTACATTACCACAAGTAAATGCAAAACAGTAATAAATAATAAATAAATAAAACAAAACATGCATCTTTTATATTAATAATGAAGGCAAAGATTCCAGAGATTTATTAACACACTGTGACTTTATTATTTGTTCTAGCTTCACACTCTTGTAAAGTAAGAATTGTGGACAGGGAAAAGAGTTACCACTATATATATAATATGTTGAGAATATCTACGTCTTTGCTTGATAAGAAAACACAGGAAACCACAAAGAATGAGTCACATTTCTTACGAGATAAGTAAGGATTTATTTTAATGATGCTAAAATTATTAGTAGTTTAATCTTGGTAAAAAACAAGCATAATTAAGTAACGTGTTAATGTACTTATGGGTATGTAATGTAATAACAATGTATGAGCCAAGAAGAAAGGTTTTTTGGTTTGCAATACTTAGTAGGATAACAGTTTTAATTTTGCAATTTATTTTCAATATTTTGTGTCCTGATCATTATGCAGATGCATTTAGAAGCCCCGTTGATAAGTCTCAACAAATATCATTATATGACAATGTGGTTGTATTATTATTTGGTGGTCTCACACGATGGGATAGTGAATACTTTATACATATTACAAAATATGGCTATACCTACGAAAATACTTTGGCATTCTATCCATTGTATCCCATATTAATTCGGTTTGTTGCTGCTTGTTTAAGAGTGTTTTTAGTATTGAATATTAATAGCTCTATAATTATTGCTGGCATACTAATTAATGCCATATGTTTTATAAAATCCGCTATTATCTTTTATGATCTCAGTAAAGTAGTGTTACGAAGAACAAGCACAGCTTACAAAGCAGCAATACTTTATTGCATAAATCCGGCTACTATATTTTTTTCTGCTATTTATTCAGAATCTTTATTTGCTTACTTAACATATTACAGTATGTTAAGATCTATTATTCTGGACAAATATGTAGGTTTTCCAATAGGTTTATCTATTTTTACAAGATCAAATGGTATAATTAATATTGGCTTTCCCATGTATTTTGAATTCAAAAGATTGTGCTATAGCTTTGTAACAAAATATGAAAATTTTTCATTTAGAACTTTGAGTCAATTTTTATTCAAAATGACTACTTTAAAAAGTATTTGTTTCATGTGTAATACAATAATTATATCAATAGTACCATTTCTTATGTTACAAATATATAATTATGTTATATTTTGTGTTCCTTATTCAAATGAAATATCTATTCCTGAACATGTTCTTAACTACAGCGTATTAAATAATTTAGTATTATCAAGTAATGATAATATAGAATGGTGTCATGCTAAACTTCCAATAGCATACTCTTATGTACAAACAAAATATTGGAATGTAGGATTTTTAAAATATTACGAAATGAAGCAAATACCAAATTTTATTTTAGCATTTCCACTCCTATACATTATTATTACATGTGTGAAAGAATATATTACTGAGCACAGAAAATATTTTTGTACATTAGGATTTGTTGAAAGTGCTGATACAGCAGAAGTCACTAAACTAAAGAAATAGCCTGCTGAAATGTTAGTGTTCATTGTTCACGGTTTATTTATGACTATATTTTGCATTCTTTATGTACACATTCAAGTAAGCACACGGTTATTGTGTTCAGCAAGTCCATTACTTTATTGGTATTGTGCTTTAACCATGTGTCCTACATCACACTGTGACGATGACATGGCATTTGAAAATAAAGAAAATATATATTCTAAATGGAAAGTATTTTTTTTAACACAAAAGGAATATGCTTTGCAAGATAAACTTATATTAACCTACTTTCTGGGATATATGATTATAGGATGTTTCATGTTTTCAAATTTTTTGCCATGGACGTAATTTACATATACTGTATATTAAATTGTACAAATTTTAGTAAGTTTATTCTTATGTAAATACATGACTATATAAATAATTTGCGTATAATAAATGTAAAATTTAAACGACATACTGTTCCGCAATGTTGCGTGTAATTTAATGTAAATTTATACAATAAAATATTGAATATGAATGTCAAAGATCATCATATTGCAAAGTTTGCTAAGAAAGTTCGTGTTATAAATGTATAAATATGTTATCTATGTTACGAGCCCGGGCCGTAGCAACACGAAAGGCCGGCGAGTTTAGGTTTTCCAAGGAATATGGTACGAGTTTATTAGGAAGGTGCGCGGACGAATCTGACGCGAAGCCAGAGAGCCGCTAGGATGTTTGAAAACGAGGACGAATCCGATGCGAAATCGGAGAGCCACTGGGTTGGAAATACTCTTGGAAAAGTGTAATGCACGGACGAACCTGATGCGAAATCAGGGAGCCGTTAGGAAATGTTAGTTAGTCCCTCGTAACCTTTGAATTTGTAATTAATACAACTCGAGCGGTAAAGTTGTATTACTGTGGGAACGGTCGACCTAATATTCTAAACTAGAGGAAACTAGTATATCGATAATACTACAGATTTCTGGATCGTGTTATGGATTTAAAATTGAACTACACAGATTTATAAAATAACAGTATAATTAATCTGTCTTTCGTTACAAATGTGTTGTGTAGTGTAGTCGCGTAGTAGTAAGTAATAATGAAATAATAACTATTACCGAAACAAATAGGTGCTCGGTGTTAACGCATTGGCGATGCGGGGGTTGCGAGTGGATTTTACGGAATAATGCCGAAGTAATTCTAGTCGGAATACAAATAAAGTGTTCACGGTTTACTACAAGGTTAACTGGATTCGAAAGGGAACTTTAGCCCGATGTCACTAACGTAATGACCAACTCACAAGAACGTGACGCGACGTGACTCTAAAGTCGACGGTATAGTTCTGATCCCCCGGGGGTTGAAATCAACGGGTTCATATAGGCGTAGAAATTGATGGGGATGCTATGAAATTTCCATATAAGGAAATTTTTGACAGTTGAAGTTGCGTCACGCTTCCTATTTTTTGGTTACTACGCCGTGGGAACGGGTTTTACTCCCTCGTTTACTCAAGAGATAACGAAACCGTAAGAGCGTTTTCCTTTGCCGGGTGCGAGCTCAGACTATTAGAGCGAGAAGTATGATAGAAAATTCTTCATACGTAACAAATTCATACGAAAAACTGTTTTATATAAAAGTTGTTTTACTTAATAGAATGTTTTAATTTCTTTTTATTGTTATTTACAGAGATTTTAATATACAATATAATATTTTTAAACAGAACTATATGTTTTTATTAATGTCGTGTTATGAACGATTTTAAGATGAATTCAAAGACACATTTGAAAGTTCTGTTTGAGTAATAAATTCTCGGATAACTGTATGAACGAAAAAAAAAGATGCTATCCGAACTTGATATTTGCCAGCCACATTCGTACAGTTATCGTAAAAATTATTACTCGTAACATGATAATACTAAACATATACAGTTCCTTTAAAAAAGTTACATTATTCTTAAAGTCTCTGATGCGCATTTATTCGGATTGGGATCACTAGCACATCTACTATTTAAATTATCAAATAAATTATTGAACGTTTGGAAAAAACATATTAAAAAAAATTCAAATATTCTATTAAGTTTATTCCATGAAATCGAACAACGTTCATATAAAATATTTATTCGCATATTCAATAATTAAAGAAATAATTGCGCATGTACACTTAAACTGAACATAATACTGTATGGGTGCTATCATACACACCTTTGTCTCTCGGTGTGGCATTGACATAACAAAAAAAGGTTAAATACAATTGTATTCACAATTTTTTTCGTTAATAATGCATCGAAATTTTTTGTTAAATAAGGTTTTATACGAATAATAATATAAATACTTATTTCAAACAAATAAATTTTTATTCGATAGTATTATTAAATTTATTTATAATATATTTATAATATTATTAAAATTATATTATAAAATTAATAACTGTGTTATTAAATTTTCTTCAACATTACGGTGACAGTCGCAGAGCGCGCATTTATTCGGATTGGGATCACTAGCACATCTACTATTTAAATTATCAAATAAATTATTGAACGTTTGGAAAAAACAGCTGTGTTTTGTACAGTACTTGTTTCTATACAATGTGTTTGAGAAGCGGTAAGCATGGCAGATGACACGCGTTGGCTAAAAACTTGAAGTGCAAGCTTACATTTCGTTTTATCAAAAGAATTTGAACGAATATGCTTTTTGGATAACTTGTAAGCTGCGCGTGTGGTTATATCTTTCTCTAAATTCCAAAAAGCTACAACATCGGACCATGAAACCCAAAAACCATTGATCATAAAATCATTTTTCATTAAATTATTTCTAATACTTTTAAAAAGATGTAAATAATCGAAAAGGAAATAAACTTTTTGGCCATTTCATTCCAAATATGGTTTTTCAATAGTAACTAAGTCATTCGCGACACTCTGTTTACTGGATCCCTGATCAGAAACAACTACTCTCACTTTCAAGCCAGTCTCATACAGTGAATCTAAAATTTTGTTCAAAATAACAGACAAATCTGTTTTCTTTACGCCAGATCCAGATACAAAGAAAGCCAATGGTTGTTACCAATTAGTAAACACCCCGCGTAGCATAAAAACAAGCACTTGTAAACCCACGGCTAAATTTCTACCCAAAAATCCATATCTTTGAAACCTTCAATAATTTGCTTGTTTAGGTGGTAATCCAGACACTTTTTGATAACCATTTCATCAAAAGACAGAACACAATTTCGATCTATACCTTTCATATGGGCAGATTTAATTTTGAGCGCAGTAAATAAATTTGAGCAGATTCCAGGCCAAATGTTCATTTTACCGAACCATCGAATGATGGTGACAGGATCCGATAGATGAAAACCCAAGACGTTGCGTAATTTAATGTACAAAGCTGGCGAAGTGTAATGCATGGTCATGCACAATTGTTGCTCACGGCGATTGTAACGACGCGATCTAAGTGGCGGAAATAATACCATTAAAAAGTTAAAATAAAACCCGAAACTTTTTTTACAATTGCTTTCTTCAAGTATGTATCATCAATCTAACCGGAAGATACTTTATTTTTAAAACGATTAAATGTTTTACTCTTCACCCGTATTTGCAATCAAAGACAATTAGAAATATTCTTCTCTCGCAGTAATATTGCTTCAGTTTCCATCAACCGTTTTTCAGTGGATTGTGTTCACTCTTTGTTGAACTGATATCAAATTCAAAACTTGTGTCACTTTCATTATTATTTGAATCAATAATGCTAATTTCATAAAGTCGCGGTGTTGCATTTCTTTTCAGTTGACCTAACGCGGAATAACTATCGTTTGAAAAATGCCGATTGCATAAGTATTTTTGTTTTAATGTACTATCAGGCAATTCCACCCAATCATCGAGAACGCAGTTTTCCAGCCATGTAATACATCGATCATTGTCATTAATAGAGAAAGAATGAAATAAACTGCCGTCCGTTACATTACGGTTTATTAAACCGCAATTATAATATGAACATTTCTTAAAATGTGTTTTACTGGTCCGACGTTCCATGCACGAATTCTGACAATATTCAATGTAAAAATGGGAAAATGCAAAAGGGCTATATACAACACATAAGAAAGGCAATATGTACAAGAATGCACTACTGATAATAACAATAAGCAGACAAAACAAACGGTTAAACAAATTGTTACCTTCTACTAACCTCTCTAGCTCTACTATTTTCCCGCGCTGAAGTCACTGACACATATTTATCACACATAAATTATTTAGTTTTACTTCTGGCCACAAGAGCGTGGTTATATATTTTCACCCTGAATCGGTAACGTTGGGTATTGACACTGAAATGGTAAGGGGGCTTCTAACGCCCTCGAAACATGGGACAGAAAATTACATTGCATGTTAGGTCTATTCTTATATCTCGTTTGTGCTTCTACCGAAACATAAAGTACCGGTACTATACCGGTATATATTTCGGTTTTCGGTAATATATCGGTTTCGATATACCTTTACTGGCATAATGTCGGTATCAAATTCATACCGGTTTTAAGTCCCTGTTTTATTCATAGCATCGATGATATTTTCATCTTTTATTTGTATCTTTTATCCGTAGGCTTTGAATAAATCTTCAAATAACTTTGGCCAGCCAGCCAGCTCCAAAAAACGCGTTGGCGAGCGTCGAACGTCAAAGGCCTGCGACTGACAGTCGGCATACAATGTAAACAGACGTAGATGAGATAAGGAATCACGCACGAATGCAATTTTAAACTTTTACAATTTTCAATATGTATTAAAGAAAGTGTTATGAATGAATTGAAGAGATGCTGGCGATGAAAATGCTTCCAATTCGAGTGTAATTGAACAGTTTTTACTTATACGTAATGTTACGGATAAAAGTAATATGGTATTGAAAAACTTTATACATTAAGTTAAAAAATTACATATTTTTTATGTTCAAATTTTTTTTTATGTTTTTAATGTTCAAATATACGAGTTTAAAGTGTTTTATTGTGTCTAAAAATTTTTTAAGTTAACAATAACGAACTCATGAAATAAGCGGGAGCGGCGGATTACTCTCGAGTTGCTGGTTCACCCGACGAAAAAGCGCCTCGAGCGCAAAGGGTTAAAATTACGCATTTTCCTTTCCGATGATCTCACGGCGAAACGCTTGTGCTGAAATGGTCAACTGTCGGTTCAAACGTAAGGTAGTACATATTGTCTTTTCTGATAACGGTACATCATTAATGCGGAGAAATTTAAAGTGTTCAATTTTTATGTCCTAGTCAATAACTGTATCGTTTACCCTACATGTATCTAAATCATAAATTAAAATATAAAGTATATTGTTTTTATAGAATATTTTAATTGAGTTTATATGCAATACAAAAGGATTATTTAATATGTGACTTCTTATGTTTAAGTATTTCAATTGGTGTGAGGTACAAAGTCTGTGAACAATTCGAACATTCGTATGCTTGTGTATTGGGTTTGCGTTTTTTACTTTCATGAGTTTCTTCGGTATCCTTTGTATGTTCCTGTGTACAAGATTCTTGATGTTGTAATTTTTCGATGCTAGTGAGAACTGCTTGCATATTACAATTTTGACAATGCCATTCGGTTTCTGACATTTCCATAGAAAGTTTATCGCTCCATTCTGTTTCTTTCAAACTAAAAGATAAAAATTATAATTACGACATTTTATGATTTAGAACTTGTTTCATTTAACAATACATATAATGAGTAATAACTTACCAGTTATACGTAATTGCGTTTGATACCCGGATTCCTCCTTTTATTAAATTGGGAATCACCGCGAAATCAGATTGAAAAGGATTCGAATTTATTGATATAACGTTTTCTTTACTTCTTACATACATTATTTTAAGATCAGCTGGTAATAGTCGTTTTATTGTATATGGAACTGTTGTGTGCATATACTCGATTAGCTCTTGAGTAAGTGTATATTCAACTTCATTAAAATCTTGCTTCACTTCATTATTAATATTCGAGTCTAAAAAATTATCTTAATTAGTATGCTTTGAATGAAAAAGAGTAACAACGACTTACTAGTTTTTAAATACATTTTGTATCATACCTGATAATCGTTGATTTAACAAAAAGTCCCATTTATTCCGTAATTTAGTAGCTTTCATTAATAAAGTTCGACCACTGTCAGGTACAGGACATTCTAATGCTAGCCATGAATCACATACTATACTAAAAAATAGGACCAACCTATATATGTATAAAAAATTCTTTTAAATTAATTATACATATTAAGTATTATATTTACTTACATTGAAAAAGTACTATTTGTGTCAATTTCATTTGCAAATAAAAGTAATGTCTGTGCAGCAGGCATTCTGAGTGTATTTACCAAGTAAGGTTTTGTTGTTTCTAAAAGGGATCTGTTAATTATAATTAATTAAATATATAAATTACATCCATAATTACAATATATTGCTATTTTAAATTGTTCCTAAGAGCTTACAAATATGCTAATATTGTATGTTTCGAGCTGACAGGAGTTTTACTTTTGAATCCTGGAATTGATATAATATCAGTCTCTTCCAATTGTAATACTTGCGGGTGGTTTCCAAAGAAACTCATTGGATGTAACGCTATATATGGTTTTGCTTTTGTATGAAATAGTTGCTCATTTACTGACTGCAAAATTATTTATTACTTTCTAAAAAATAATTAAACTATTTTAAATAAGCAAAATGACGTTACCTTACAATAGTTAAATTCATCTGCGCATGCGAATTGTGGATATAAACCGCTACATAATATTATTTTTAACATCGTTAAGTCTTTGTAACTATATGCAGTGGCTGCTGTTAATAAATTCTGAACTTGACTTGGATCGTTTTTCATTCGAAATTCAATGTCTTTTATGTCAATTTCATCATCATCGTGATCATCATCTTCTAAGTGTATATTAAATGATTCCAGTTTTAATCGCTTTCGCTTTTTAGGTGCACTTTGTTTATAAGTTCTTTTTAAAGATTTCAAGAGTTTCAATTCTCCGTGCCTTATGGCACGTTCTGCACTAGACATAGAAGAATTTGCTTCAGACAAACTTTTTAATAAATTGCAGTCCTAAAAAATTTAAATCATTTTGTTGAATAAATACGTGTGCTTTTTAATAAGCATAGTAAATGAGCGTTAAAAAGATATCAATTAACCTGAAGTAATTCCTTGAATTGCGTCCGTAATTTTGTCATTTCATAAAATCTTTGTTCTTCGAGGCCTCTTCTTTTACACCATTTTCTACTGTTACTTCCGCCGCCTCTAGATTCTTGAGAACTTTGTTGTTTCACTTCTAACCATTCTCTAAACGCATTTAGTAATGTTATCGGATCGCCGTGATCAGATTCCAATTTTTTCCTAGAAGTCTTTAAAATGTTAATTAATACGTGACAAGACAAAATTTTTAAAGATTTAAATTTATAAGTTATATTCCATTACTTCACACTCTGAATCTCTATATGCTCTGTTTGTAAATGGTGTTTGTATGCTTAAAGCAGCAGCTAATGATAAAACCGGTTCCACTTGGTGGAAAATTGAACCCATTATTAACATTTTCCCTATTGTTATATCAACAGGTAGACGTGCAAGTGTTTTTCCAATACATGTTATTTTTTCATTGTCTGTAAGTGCACCCTAAAATAAAAAAAAAACATAATTTAATTATCATATGACTCAATAAGGAAAAAAAATTCAGTGAGTATATATACCAACATGTTCTTTTAATGATAATATCGAATTTTCTATACTTTCAGCTGGTGGTGGTTCTATGAATGGAAATTTCCTTGTATCTGGAAGTCCCATTGCTATCATTTGTAAAAGTAACGAATCTAAAGGCACACGTTGTAGTTCTGGTGTTGAATACTTTTCCAAAGACATGAATTCTTCTTCTGAGTATAGCCTGTGTAGAAGTATGTATTACGTTTAAAATTTTCATTACCAAATTATAAGAACATTTTAAAACATGTATTATAAATTATATACGTATATATTGAAGTATATGTATACCTATAGCACACACCAGGTCCTGTTCTACCAGCTCGTCCCTTTCGTTGCTCTGCGCTTGCTTTGCTAATCCAGAATTCTTTGAGTCGTTGCATTTTGCATGATGGATCATAGCTCATTTCTTTTACTTTTCCACTGTCAGTAACAAATCTGATTCCATCTATGGTAATAGAAGTTTCTGCGATATTAGTTGATACAATACATTTTCTCACACCATCAGGAGCATAATCAAATACCTTTAAAAAGTGAATATATTTGTATAATATTATAATTAAACATATTTGTTGTGTAAAATAAAGAAATGTTTATAAAATTTTACTTTGTCTTGTTCACTAATAGATAGAGTGCTATGAAGTGGTAAAATGATCCAGTTATTTTTTTTCTGACTATATTCTTTCGCTGCATCTACAACTGCAGTAATTTCACTCATCCCACTTAAAAATATTAATAAGTCACCTTTTTCATCAGCTGAAAAGATATGTTGTTAACATAATACAATACAAAATTTTATTTTGTGCACCACGCTCTGTCTCACCTGAATATTTTTGGTCAATTAGTTGCATTATTTGTACGTAAGGACTTGGATTAAACCGATCATTTTTATATCGAATGTCTTCTATGGGAATAGGTCTATATAATAACTGAATAGGGTACATCCTCCCAGGAACCTATTCATAATAACTAATTTTAGTAATCATTCACGGCTCTAAAATATTTTTTAAGAATTATTTTTAACAACATACTTGTATTACTTTAACATTTTCTTTCGCAAAGTAATTACTGAAAAGTTCAATATTAATAGTGGCAGACATAAGAACTAGTTTTAAATCATTTCCTTGGTTAATAACACACTTCATAATGCCAAGGAGAAAATCTCCATGTAAATGACGTTCATGTACTTCATCTAACACAACCATGTCATAAGGCAATGATTCAGATTCACCTGATAACTACACAAACAAGATATATTAAGATTTATATTTTTTATATAATGTTTAATAACTAATTACTGTCTATTAGGTTTTTGTCTTTACCTGTCTTAACAGAAGACCCTCTGTTATAAAGGTAATTCTAGTGTCTTGATTTCTTTGTTTTTCAAAACGAATTTGGTAACCAACATCATTACGATTCTCTGTTAATGTTTCAAAAGCAACACGTTTAGCTAAAGATATACATGCTATTCTTCTGGGTTGGGTGCACGCTATAAGAATTTATTTATTGATGTTATTATTGTTGATACTTATGTTGTATACCAAAATATTAAGAATTTTAAATACAATTGTATTTACCAATTTTTTGAAAATTAGCTGCATATAAGAATTGGGGCACTTGGGTGGATTTCCCACAACCAGTATCACCAGCTATAATGACTACCCGCTCACTTTTTACTGATTCAATTATCTCGTTTTTATATTGACTAACTGGTAAGTTTGCTTGAGATTCTCTAAGCTTCTTTAACTTAGTAAATTTCTCCTTTTGCTTGAAGTCTGAGTATAAAATAAGTATATTCTGAAATTTCAATAACTGCTTGTTTGTTAAAGCTTCAGTCGGTGGAATACGTGCAAATAATACATTGAAACTAAAACTTAGTTTAAAATTAATGCAATGTAATTTGTGATATGTTTCTGGTACACCAATTTTATTTAGAGTAAAATCAAGCGATGTATCAGGCATGTGGTGCTGTTTTTGTACAACTTCAAATTTATTAACAAATTTCCAGAAATCTTCGATATCTTGTACTACATTTAAATTTCCTGAAAATATTTTATTAAACTCATATTTATATTTACTAAAATAAAAATCTTCGTAATCTCTGTTGGGTTTGTTATGTATTTCTTCAGAGGAGCGTCTGATTTTAGTATCTAATATATTTTGATTATCAAAATTTGTTTTAGTCTCTATTGTACTTTTCTTATTAAAATGTGTTCTTGATGACGACATTGACTCAATATATTTATTTTTTCTTCTTTTTTTGTCGTATCGGTATTCGCATTTAGATTTGTTGCATCCTGACTGTGAACTCATATTGCAATATAACTGAGTTCAATACTTTCATGACATAACCTTAATGTTGTTTTCGGTTTAGTATACTTCTTGCATTCTATAATTTGGTATCACTTTTTATTTATTAAATCTTCGTTGCTAATTTTGCGTTCTATATAAGCATACAATCGAAAGAAATAATTGTCTATTCCACTCCTTTCTACTGACAGATTGTGACAGATGCTTTAAAACACACCTCTGTGAAGTTAGCCGGACAACTATGACCTTTCTTTTAACATTTCATTATACCACAGACGAAATATAAGAATAGACCTAACATGCAATGAGATTTTCGGTCCCATGCTTCGAGGGCGTCAGAAGCCCCCTTACCATTTCAGTGTCAATACCCAACGTTACCGATTCAGTGTGAAAATATATAACCACGCTCTTGTGGCCAGAAGTAAAACTAAATAATTTATGTGTGATAAATATGTGTCAGTGACTTCAGCGCGGGAAAGTAGTAGAGCTAGAGAGGTTAGTAGAAGGTAACAATTTGTTTAACCGTTTGTTTTGTCTGCTTATTGTTATTATCAGTAGTGCATTCTTGTACATATTGCCTTTCTTATGTGTTGTATATAGCCCTTTTGCATTTTCCCATTTTTACATTGAATATTGTCAGAATTCGTGCATGGAACGTCGGACCAGTAAAACACATTTTAAGAAATGTTCATATTATAATTGCGGTTTAATAAACCGTAATGTAACGGACGGCAGTTTATTTCATTCTTTCTCTATTAATGACAATGATCGATGTATTACATGGCTGGAAAACTGCGTTCTCGATGATTGGGTGGAATTGCCTGATAGTACATTAAAACAAAAATACTTATGCAATCGGCATTTTTCAAACGATAGTTATTCCGCGTTAGGTCAACTGAAAAGAAATGCAACACCGCGACTTTATGAAATTAGCATTATTGATTCAAATAATAATGAAAGTGACACAAGTTTTGAATTTGATATCAGTTCAACAAAGAGTGAACACAATCCACTGAAAAACGGTTGATGGAAACTGAAGCAATATTACTGCGAGAGAAGAATATTTCTAATTGTCTTTGATTGCAAATACGGGTGAAGAGTAAAACATTTAATCGTTTTAAAAATAAAGTATCTTCCGGTTAGATTGATGATACATACTTGAAGAAAGCAATTGTAAAAAAAGTTTCGGGTTTTATTTTAACTTTTTAATGGTATTATTTCCGCCACTTAGATCGCGTCGTTACAATCGCCGTGAGCAACAATTGTGCATGACTATGCATTACACTTCGCCAGCTTTGTACATTAAATTACGTAACGTCTTGGGTTTTCATCTATCGGATCCTGTCACCATCATTCGATGGTTCGGTAAAATGAACATTTGGCCTGGAATCTGCTCAAATTTATTTACTGCGCTCAAAATTAAATCTGCCCATATGAAAGGTATAGTCGAAATTGTGTTCTGTATTTTGATGAAATGGTTATCAAAAAGTGTCTGGATTACCACCCAAACAAGCAAATTATTGAAGGTTTCAAAGATATGGATTTTTGGGTAGAAATTTAGCCGTGGGTTTACAAGTGCTTGTTTTTATGCTACGCGGGGTGTTTACTAATTGGAAACAACCATTGGCTTTCTTTGTGTCTGGATCTGACGTAAAGAAAACAGATTTGTCTGTTATTTTGAACAAAATATTAGATTCACTGTATGAGACTGGCTTGAAAGTGAGAGTAGTTGTTTCTGATCAGGGATCCAGTAAACAGAGTGTCGCGAATGACTTAGTTACTATTGAAAAACCATATTTGGAATGAAATGGCCAAAAAGTTTATTTCCTTTTCGATTATTTACATCAAAAATTAATCTTTGTTTAATGAAAAATGACTTTATGATCAATGGTTCTCGGGTTTTATGGTCCGATGTTGTAGCTCTTTAGAATTTAGCGGAAGATAAAGTGTGCAGGTTACAAGTTATCCGAAAAGTCCAAATTCTTTTGGTAAAATGAATTGTAAGCTTGCACTTCAAGTTTTTAGCCAACGCGTATCATCTGCCATGCTTACCGCTTCTCAAACACATTGTATAGAAACAAGTACTGTACAAAACACAGCAGTTTTTTTCGAAACGCTCAATAATTGATTTGATAATTTAAATAGTAGATGTGCTAGTGATCCCAATCGGAATAAACGCGCGCTCTCCGACTGTCACCTTAATGTTGAAGAAAATTTAATAACACAGTTGGATAATATGAACACATGGTTTGTAGTGTCTTTAGACAAATTAAAAAAACCTCCGTTTTTTTTGGGATTACAACAATCTGTAAATGCCACCGTCCAGCTGTGGACTGATCTCCGTTTTGAAGGGGTAAAGCTTTTACTAACTTCTCGGTTAAATACTGATGTTTTAGAGAACTTTTTTTCAGTCCTTCGTATGTACAGTGGCACTTACAATCATAATCCTTCGGTAAAAGCGGTCTTGCAATTCGTAAAAGTATATTAACAAATTTAGAACGCAGTTCAACTAGTGGAAATTGTATGCCTGACGATGACGCACCGTTAATACCTGGGGATAGTATTATGCAATGTGTACCAGCCGCGTCTATATCTGATGTCCCATTGCATATAACAGAAGAGGATATGGATGATGATAGTATCAGTATATCACCGAATATAGATGATCATATTATCGAATTATCAACATCAGTATGCTGATTAGAGTTGTATGCGGTACAATATTATAATACTTTTGTTGATCCGTATGCGCAATTTTCGCGGAACGAACAATTGTTGATATCTTTTCGGGTGTACGTAGTAAACGATAACATTAACTTTGGACATCTTTGCGTCCCCAGTCAACGTTTTTCAAGAGTTTTTAGGATTATCAATCAAGTATTTGATGCGATATATCCAAAATTTCATAATAAATATCACATGGTAGATGAAATGTTTCCCGTCATTTCCTATCATGTAGAAGAAAATTTTCCACAATGGTATAGCGACGATGAATGTGCGACTCATCGAAAAGAAATAACATATTTGGCATTAAAAGTCAAAAATTTTAAAGTCACAAAATGGCTCGAAGAACGCCTGAGATTTGCAGGCTTATCGAGAAGAAATTCTTCAAAATTGTCGCACTTACGAAATGTTTAACGTATTTTACTGTTCTTAGCAGTAATCATACAAGTAAACTTTCCAATTTAGCTTTGTTTCGAATCTTTTGCATTAGCTTTCACTCGGTATGTGCTTTGCTGTGTATGTATGTATTATATTTTCTGTATTATTGCTTCCGTTATATGTATATGCTTTCTTCCATGTGTTATTTGCTTTAGTTCTATATTCTTAACACGATTCCGAATATTTTCAGCGTTGCATTATTCGTTTTCTGATCTAAAAGTTTCTTTTCATAATTCTTCTTAACTTTTAGCATGATTACTAAACAATAATACATTTTTTTTGCTCATTTCAATCTTTTTGTTCGTCATGTATATTGGCAGCGAGACGCCGGAACACATTGCTTTTTGTTTTTCGTTACTCGGTCGGCGTCACTTCCGTCTTCTTCCTTCTTCTCTGTTCGCCGCGTGTGTGAATAAACATTATACATATATGATAAAACGTATATGAATAAACACATATACATAAATATATATATGTTCGAATACGTGATATCCAATAGGTTATGGGCCCATGCCACATAGTAAGAGCTGCGTAATAACGAAGGACAAATATTAAAAGGAAGAGCATCAATAAGATAAAACAAAAATGAATGGGTCAAATATTGTATTAACGCATAAGTTCAATGGTACCAATTTTAAACTGTGGAAGTACCAAATGCCAGCATTGCTAAGAAGTAAAGGATTGTTGGGCATAGTCACTGGAGAGAGTCCTAAACCAACAGAGAATGAAGCAGTAGTAGTCAAACAAGAATGGTTTAAAAAGGATGGTTTAGCACTGGCTATAATTGTTAATGCACTTGAAGATGAACAGGCACAATTGATTTTGAGTTGCAGTATGGTTATTTGGTTAACATTTATGAAAGAAGAAGTGACATTTGTATAATGACTTTATATGAAGAATACTTTGCCATAAGAATCTCTGAGACAAAATTAGCAACCGAAATAGAAAGTCAAGGCGAACAACTGAGTGAAAATATAATGGTCAGGATAGTCAGTGGATTAACTTCACGGTTTAAAAATTTTAAGACTGTCTGGTATAATGTCAAAGAAGGTAGAGATTTTAATAACTTAATGAGACGACTTCAATTAGAAGAAGATCAGTTAAATAAAGCTGATAGTAGTACTGAAGCCACAGTAAGTGCCTTTTATGTAAAGTCAAAAAGATAGGGGCAAAAGACACAGTCCAGTAAAAATGAAAGGAAACCAACGCAACTTTCAGTACAAGAAAGAAAACAGGTCAGCAGATGTAAAATTTGTAACGAATTTGGTCAGTGGTATAGGGAATGCAAAAGGAACAAACAGAAAGATAATAAAGGACCCAGGTATTCGCAGAATTCAGATTGTACAGAGCCAGTTTTTGCATCAACCATACAAGAAATTATCCTGCAAAATTCTGACAGGTGGTTGGCAGATTCTGGAGCGTCTGAGCATATGACATTTAAAAAGGAATGGTTCTCAGATTTCATTGTACCTAACCTTTGTGGTGGAAGGGAGTCACCCTGGAAGCTACATGTTTAACGTAGGAGGAACGCTTGCAACCGCTGACTGGAGCCAATGCAGGGGTTTAACCTGGGTAACCGGGCGCCCTCCGCGTGGAGGGGGGTGACGACCCTTTTAGGTTGCCTAATCGCCGACATAGGGGGGCCAGAAGAGCGGGTACGCCGCCTCTATATGGGAGTGGTTCGGTCGATGACCCTATATGGGTCACCGGTGTGGCCCGGAGGCCTGATGGCCTGCCGACGAGGTCGGCAAATCCTCCGTAGTATACAACGGAGGATGACCATCAGACTGATCCGGGGATACCGAACCATATCCCATGAGGCAGCTATAGTATTAGCGGGGGTGATCCCATTCGAGATCCAGGCGGATGCCGACGCCGATGTGTATCAGTACCGTCAAGCCCTCCGCCTCTCGGGGCACCACCAACACCTGAAGTGACGGAAGTATGGAAGCGCCAGTCCCGGCGGATGGCCCGCGATGCATGCCGGATGCAGCTTGAGTCGAGCTGCGTCGCCCGCAAAAGGGCAGTCGGGGCGGTCCTCTTCTAAACCACAGCGTTTCGGGTTGCACCGCTGCAGACAAGGGTTGCACTGTGGGGGACGCAATTTAAAGGGGTCACAACCGTGATGACCCCTCGCGCCACCCGCGGGGCAACCAGGGCAGAGGGGGTGGTACTGGGGGTACTGTCGCGGTCGGGCCACGAGATAACAGCGTCAAGGGATCACCTCTGGTGGAATGGCATACAGCCGTCCTGGGGGGGGGGGGACAATTGGAAATGGAAGTGCAGTGGAAAGCAACTGGTTTGCGAAACTTTGTTCCTCCAGGTGGAGTTCCGCCTAAGAAAACTTATGAATTAGCAGTATTTATTGAATACTTATGAAGTAACACATTTGTACTTCTACTCATTTGTTGATAGTTTTTTTAGAGAAGGCTCATCTGCAATCTTTAGTATTTTTTATTTTCGTCTTATAGTGTCTAGAATCACACCTTAAAGTTTCTCCCGCTGTAGTCGACTACCATGTTCATCTACTCATGTGGACTCGAACTAACAAGGAGTGTATTCCAGGTGTCTGTTTCCGGTTTCTTTGATTTTCGGATATGTTTTAGAGGACTAAAAAATAAGGAAGACGTATTTTTTTATATCGGCTCGTTTTCATATTTAAGGGGTGAAACCAATTCAAAGTTTCGACCTGGAAGTGCTATCTCGAAAATCAAAGAAGTTTCACGAAAACAGCCAATAGGCGAGGTTTATGGTTTTTTATGTAGGGGAAAGGTGTCTAAAACGATCCCTTGGGGTAAAATGATTCCTGGCTGACATGTGGCTATTAGTGGTGCTATATCGTATTGTCATTCTACAATAGTTCTCCCCGCACGTCACTAGTCGTTGCTAGTGATGGGACACAAAACCGGATGCAAGTCAATCAAGTCAGATGGCGTCATGGGGCCTCAGCTCATGGCAACGGTATCTAATCTCTATAAGCCTTCGGCAACCGACGCTCGGGATACAATGTAACACACATAACGAATCACCCATGAATAAACATTTAAACTTTTATTCCTTTCAGTGTACTTTCTTAAAAATGTTATGAATAAAAGTTGGAGATTCTCCTAATGAAAATAAGTCCAAATACGACATAAATCAGATTATATTTAATAACAAACAATTCGTATTGCGACATAACGTATGAATAAAAATTATTTTCACTGCATTCAGAGATACGCAAAAATTTTGAAAAACATTGCACACGTTGCAAATACCGGTGCACCTATTACAGAATTTTCTCCAATTTTTCGGTTGAAAATTCTAGGTGGAAAAAATTAAGAAGTAAAGTAAAATGCATAAAATAATATAATGCTATCTAACATTAAAACATAAACTTAATGTAATCATTTTAATCGGGGAAGACAGCATGATCCATACACATTTGATAGTAATCAATTGGAATCGATAAGCCGCTTATTGATCTACTAGCTTTTTTCTCGTGGTTTCGCTCGCGTAGATTTCGAGATTTGGTAAAATTTTTTTTAAACAAAATTATAATTAAAGAAGTATGTAAAAATTCTTCTTTAATGTACACAGATTGAACATTATTGAAACATTATTAATGAATAATTTCAAATACTTTATTTAACTGTGGTTAAAATACAAAATTGCATTACATAATTACATAAATAAATAATTACGTATACAATCAAATGTAAGATGCTTGCAATCACATTTTACAAGATTCACCATCAGCGAAGTACCTAAATTTGGTTTAAAGAATAAATGGAACATACTATATCAGCATAGTAGAACAATGCACACGAATGGCACCAAGTTCTACACTTAAAAGTAGTTTTTCATTATCGAATGCTTGCAAGTTAGAATACTGCAACAATACTAAGAATCTTTATGCAAATGATGAGATATAAATAAAATAAGCAATTATTTTCACTTCAACGAAAAGGCAAATCTGTGACCAATTATCTCACCTTTCCCTTAATGTCGTGATAAGAATGGTATGTTATTAAATATAGTCTGATTTATGTCGTGTTTGGACTTATTTTCATCGGGAGAACCTCCTACATTTATTCATAACATTTTTAAGAAAGTACACTGAAAGGAATAAAAGTTTTAATTTTTATTCATGGGTGATTCATTCTGTGTGTTACATTGTATCCCGAGCGTCGGTCGCCGAAGGCTTATAGAGATTAGATACCGTCGCCGTGAGCTGAAGCCCCGTGACGTCATTTGACTTGATCGACTTGAATCCGGCTTGGTGTTCCATCACTAGTCGTTGCTCGAAGTGCCATGTGAATATCAGTGCTCTGTGTGTTGTCCACAAGAAAAATAAAAAATTACTGTAATTTATCTAAGATAAGGTCTTTTTCAATGTTGTGTAACATTTGTCATAAACGGTTTAATGTGACAGTTGCTTCTTGCGCGGATTTAACCACTATTCAACAATTAGTTAATTAATGTTTCGTGACCGCATGTAATAAGTTGAGGTTATATTCAACCACTGAATGTGAGTTGAGTGTTTGGGATTATATGATCCCTCTCTAGTAGGATAAAATGATCCCAGGAATGATTTTACCCATATGCTATATTATTGTTTTTTGTTTTAGTTACAACAATGCCCCGTCAGTATGAAAGAAAAACAACGCGTGAAAGCTGTTTTTATTTAAATAAAATATAATAAATTAAATGCTTTTTAATGTTCGTCGTATTTACTATCAGTAGGTATAAAATGATCCCCGGAGATCATTTAATACACATACATTACAAAATGATCTTTAAGTATGCTTTCAAAGAAATGTGAATAAAACATATAATTAATCAGGTAGCTAAAGTTTATTTGAGCCAATGATAAGATACATAGACTAACTTACAAAAACTACTTTACTTTTATTTAAATAATAAGCATTTGTATTTTTTTATATAAATTACGCCTTAAAGGGTTTTAGACACCTTTCCCCTACAATAATCTGGTGCTAACAAAGTGTCAAAAATATTGTTATGACTAAACAATTTTTATAACTTAATTTTACAACTTATTGAAATTTACATATTGATATAAATTGATGAGCATTTCATTCCATATCCATTAGTATTTTTTTTTAAATTGCCTCTATAATCTTTCAGGTGTTTATTATTTATATCCCGTGCGCACGCTTGCTGCTTCAGCTTCCGAGTGCATTGGTTTTCGGGGAATATATTATCATAGGCTTTACGGTTCATATGTGCCATAAAAGTGATATTCATGAAAAAATTGTTTTAAACGAAATGCTTTTTTACACCAAGAGTATCTAATTATCGGTGTTTCGACACAGAGTGCACATTTCATTTCTGTATTCTGTTCGAAAGCAAAATCTACAAAATTTACAAAATCGCCTAACTTTTTTCCCACGAATCGACGTTTATACCAAGAATATAGAAATAGATTATTATCTCGGTGATTATTATGTAAATTTCAATAAATTGCAAGATTAAGTTATAACAAAATTTTTTGTTATAATCAAATTGTATTTTTGACAATTTGCTAGCGCTATATCTTTGTATACATAAAAAATCATGAAACTCGTCTATTGGAAGTTTGCATGTATCTCCTCTGATTTTCGAAATAGTACTTCCGGGTCGAAATTTGAAAGAGTGGTTTTACTCCCTAAATATGAAAACGGGCCGATATAAAAAAATAAGTATGTCATATTTTTCGAGCCTCTAAAACATATCCGCAAATCAAAGCAATTGAAGGCGAACACTTCTGGGATACACTCCTTGTAAGTAAGACCTCGAAATATGCGTCTAATTTATATCGCGTGACCTGAAAGAATACAAATAGTATATGAAACACCGAAAAACTAAACACATATTTTTGGGTCAATTGAAATCTTTTCTTCGTATATGTTTAACATACAACTCGAGAACTCGGTTGCAAACCGTATCTGATACATATGTATGTATGGGCATGTGTCCTCAACCTATGCTTTGTGTAAGTGCATAACTTACTTTAATTTATAAATTAAAAGTTCCTAAAGAAGATTGGTTCTGTGCAAAATATTCCTGAGCATCAACAGTATAATTTAATGTTTGAAGCAAGGTGTGTTCTGAACTATGCACTTCGCATATTCTGTATGTACATACATATATCTATATAACACCTTGATGTATGCATTTCATATTATATGGAATAGCCTCAAAGAAAAAAAATAGTATATAGAACATCTACAAATTAAACGCATATTTTGAAGTCAGTTGAAAAATTTAATTCGTATATATTTAAAGTATATTTCGAGAACATGGTCTCAAATCATACATGATATACATACATATATGTGTCCCCAATCTATGTTTTACGTACATAAGTTAACATAATTTATAAATTAATTTGTTTCTTTAATATTGGCTTTTTGACAGAAGCTTCTGAGCATCAGCAGCATATTTTAACGTATAAATCAAAGTGCGTCCCACGCACGCACGCACGCACTCACGCGCACTAAATATATTGTACTAGCAATTAGCTGTTACTTACTTCAAAATTTTATTTTGGCCAGCTTTTTGGGGAAATCGACGACTGTGGCACCGTTTAGCCAGTTCGAGACAAGAAAATAGGAGGAATATCGACATAAGACGCACCCATTGTATAATCACTATTTTATTGCGTTGTGCTACAATTTTCATGTCCTTGTTTTTAGAAAAGCTCATCTCATACGCACACATACGAACGCGCCATGCAGCAAAATATTCCTATCGTAACACAAGTCACCCGAGCAATCGCAAGGTGCATCGAATAAATACATATGCGTCCGAATACCGAATAATTATCGATCGAACGGTTCGTTCGTGGGTCGAATTCGTAGTCAACCGCTCTCTGTACAAAGCTCCTGTTGGTACTACCGTAAAAAAAAAAGGAAGAAGAAAGAATGAAATTATATCCGAGTAACACAGTTATACGTATCTACTTAATTAAAAGGGGAAAAAGGGGGGTGGGAGGGTGGGCGAGGGTAGTTGCACTTTGATGCGCGGTTACGGCTGTGGGTCGCATCCAGGACTTCAGGAATGTCATTCGGAAGAAAGTTTTTTCCGTTAGAACTCCGTGAACACGATTTAGGTCTCATTTCCGTCGAGGTTTCGACTCGATGAGCTGAACGCGCTTGCTGAGTGCACGCCGATTCTTTATGCATGTCGGATCACGGTTTGTGGTAGACATTGCCATGCGAAAACAGTCCTGTAATCAATTCAAATCATTCATCCTCTCTCTCTCTCTCTCTCTCTCTCTCTCTCTCTCTCTCTCTCTCTCTCGCTCTCTCTCCATTGATTCAAACAGTGCAAATTGTCTTTAAGGACGCGCAGCAGCGTTTCTTCACAGATTGCAAATGGCACAGCCATGTTCTCAGCCTGTCAATCAGCTCCGCGCAATCTGACCCGACGTCCGTGCATTCATCGTCCTCTGGTTCTGTAAAAGAAATCAGAATATCGGGTAAACTTTCATTGACATCTCGAACATTGAAGGAGATCTTTTTTTTGTTTTTAGAAATAACGAGTCTCGAAGAAGTCCAGGTATGAAAGAGTCGGATCAAATATAGTTGTGAACCCTCTGGGCCATTGATGTGAGAAAAGGAGAGTGTACACTCAATTCTGTTTTTACACGATAGATACGTTCCGGAAGAATGCATGTAAAAGAATATATTATATATACCTAAAACATTTGTATTATTATGTAAAGAAAAAATATCTTGGCCATCGTGTTTTTGCTCCATTGGTGAAATTTTTTTCGGGATCTCTTGAATAAAGTTAGCACTGGTCTCCCGTGGTGCCGATGTTTTAGTGGTTTTAAACACGAATTCAGTTATTAATTCTTGTGTTCGTGTTTTGGCTAGGCCATTATAGAATTCTCTGTAAGAGGCCATTAATGACTTCCGATTACGTTGAAACTTTTCATAGAATTGGGTCGATCGTGTTACATCAAAATAGATCGTGTAAAAAGACAATGAAATTTTTTCTTCGAATTCGTGTTAAATTAAAATCGTGTAGAAAATGTTCGGTGAAAACAGAATTGTGTGTATTATAGACTTGCAGCGTGGCTCTGATTAGTGCAATCACATATGTATTTGGATTAGCGCCAGTAGAGTTATCCCTACGGTGGTCTCTTTTCGAAAACACACAGGTTGGCTCTGGCCACTGGACCAGTTTATAGCTCTGTTCCGAGTGAAGTTAGATAAAAATCGTAGAGGAAAATTTTTCTCTGTTCAACGAGCTCTCTAATTCGACTGTGTCATTTCTTTTTGCACAAGTGTATCAGTGCACTTGTAAAATGCAATTGCACAGTTTTCTTAAATGGAACGATCTTTTTGTTACATATTTAATTCCTCGTGTCATTCTGCGTATAAACGGTACAAGGTAAAGTCATTGAAGACACAATACTTTACTAGATAGTTCATTTTCTTTTGTAAATTTAGAGTAAGTACTCATATTTTTTAACCTTATACTCTAAATATATTTGTATATGTTTCTTTACATTTTTCAGCGTATTGTTTAGCTGTTCAATATTTACATTTAAACCATTACTTTTAAGTCTTCCTTTTAAATCATGCTTCAAGCGAAACAGCTTAAACATGTGTTCTTTTAAGTACAAGCCCGTGTTGAGTAAAATGAGAAATTTAGTAAATGAACATTGTTAGACGAGATATTTACAAATTTTTAGATTATTGCTCAAATTGCAACTTGCGTTAGTGTAATGGAATCAGTGTTGGGTGAAAGTTATTTCGAATAATGAACAAAAAGATGACAAATGATATTGAATCATTCGTTATTCAAAATTTTTGAATCACACACGAGTAAATGTTTGTTTCCAATGTATTTTATGCAAATTTAATTCAAGTGTCACGTTTTTTCGAATGTATCATCAGAAATCTTGGAGGAGCGAGGTAGATCGACCATAATAACGTAAGAGAAAAGTCTCCCACAAGACGTTTTGTTGATACATTTTCGAAAAGAATGATATTTAAATCACATTCACATAAAAGTCATTGAAAAAAAATATGTAGTCGCCTTTTGTATTTGAAAATTTCGAATAACGAATGAAAAGATAACAAATAACATTGATGCATTTGATATCCAAGAATAACGAATAAATAAATATCGTTCGTCATCGTTTTATTCGTTATTGGCAACTGCTTTTGCTCAATACTGAAATCGAATAACGAATAAAATTATATTTATTTTCGTTATTCGTTATTCGAATGAATTTTTATTGCATATCCCAGCCAATACTGGATGGAAACTGGAACTACCTACTTTTGAACTGCCTTGAGTGGCAAACTAATTCTAATCCGTTTTCTTAACAGTACACCATATTTATTTACATTAGACTACGTTTGAAAACCATTGAAAGTGCAGTAGAATTTTGTTAGTTTTGTAGAAATTTGTACATTAGTTAATTTTGTCTATTAAATCAAATGAAGAAGTGTGTGTATTGATCCTTAAAATATAGGCGTAAGTGAGTGTTACGTTACTATGTACTCCCCGTATTAACACGTTCATTATGGTGTTAACCTTATGTCATAACCATAATAGCATTATCAATGTTTATTATAAACACGAATACTGGTCATAACGAACACAATGTCATACATATTCGAAAGTTCGCATCTCCCACCAATTCTCAAAAATCATTTCTTTTGGATCCAAAATCCAAGACCAGCAAATGTTATTCTACGGTTTTGATGTATATTTTTCTATGTAGAATGAATTGTGTCCAGATTTCTGATCAAATTGATCTACCACATTTACGAGTGTTAAATACATGGTTACTCTTAACATTAACTGCAATTTTTTTTTGGACACAGTCGAAGTCTGCTTTACGAAAGAAGTATGTGCACATTTATTGACATGTCAATTCGTGAACTTGTGTTGAGTATTTATGAGGTTTTATATTCATTTGAGTATTCTATAGGGTGCAAGTAAAAATTCGTGGAAGAATTGAAAACAGGGTGATTCTTTGTACAAAATACGTCCAAAGTGTGAAATAAAATCTTTTCATAAGAGGCTTTGTTTTCGAGCTAATCGAATTCTATAATCTGCACTGCAGATGCATAGAACTTGCTTAAAGCGTCTGTTCATTCCATCCCGTTTCTACTTATTGCCAGCACGAATGCAATCCAAATTGTTTTTCGTGCACATAAAATCTTGTCGAGTAAACCAACCAGTGAATGACCGAATTGTTGAATTTATGGATGTTTGAGATTAATATTTGAATGTATTATTTATAACAAAAAAACAGCTGTTAAAATTGCAATTACAGTTATTGTTTTTGAAATTTGTATAAAAATAATTACTTATACTTATTGTAATTTTGAGAACATTATTTATAAAGTGCAGAACGTGTAGAAGCCCAGTAAATGACTGCTACATTTCTGAAATATTTTGAACAAGAATTGTACTTATTAACACAAAACCTACCGAACCCTTCAGAGAGGTAGGAATTAGTACGCCAATACCGGTCATTTTGGCCGGTCGTGGTAGACTTAGTGTTAATGTTTGTCTAATAGGCTAAACTAAAAATATGGAATATTGTAAGTGCAAATACACTCCATTTATAAAGATTTAATAATTTTAAATTTATGATTTAGATTTCTTTGCCTAATGTTCACTCATTGGTATACATTCATTCAGTTACTGGTTAGTTTATCCTACGAAAAAAATTTATTTCACAATTTTAGCTTATTTCTGCACGAGGAAACCCTTGTTTCTTCGTGGTCGCGTATAATGTAAATTTTCCCAAACACTGTGTAATTGTATGTATGTACAGGATGAGTCATTTAAATTGTTTGAAGGATGAGTCATTTAATTTGTACAACTTGTAAACGGTTTAGTACAATTTGCTTGTCGTGTATTAGTAGTAAAAAAGAATAAAAAATGAGTAATCAGTAGAAACACTTTGTATTGTTTTATCCACACAATCATCAATGTTTGTAAACACTCTCCCGGACAAAGACAACCGCAGTAGTGGAATACACGACAAGCAAATTCTACTAAATCGTTTACAAGTTGAACAAACTTTAAAGTCGATTTTCTCGAAAACGGAGCCCCGGATAAGAAAATATTATACCAAAATATTTCCTTCTTTCTTAACGTAGAATCACTCCCTGCCCAGTTGTACTACAATTTTCGGCCCACCCTGTATTTACGAAGGGCTGAAAACCTTTCCGCCTTGCCAAGAATGCTTCGAAGCGGATCCGTGTTTACTTTTCCCTGACTAACGCAAAAAGAATTATCCCAATCGACCGATTATAACCAAAAAGTTAAGCAGGACTTTAAAGATTTACGAAAATGCTTTTCCTATAGCCATTTAATTTTCTACAAAATATGAAAAAAAATAATGACGGTCATGTGAAAACTCCATCGATTTTCCATGGAATGACCCAAACGTGATGAATAACAGTCTAACTTTTCGTTCCTAATTAAGTACTTACGTCTGCTATCGATCATCGTGTAAGAAAGTATATGTATTACGGAGAAGAAAATATGTCTATATACAAATTGTCTCCACTCAAAGAAATAATTCAAGAAGAAGAAACACCGAGAATAATAATGCATGTGATGTATCCAAATACCATTTTATTTGCACACTAGTTTGTAGTAAAAGAAGAAAAAGAAGAAAACACGCTAGCGAGTCATTGAAAGAGAGTATGTGAAACTGATAATACACACAACGATATTATTCACTGTCCCATAAGTGAATTGAACGAGAACAGGCTATGAAGTATCGAAAGAACAATGAAAGAGCGACGTGTCAGCCTGTCACAATTTCACTAAATCGTAACAATAGCTGCTACATGTGTTAAATAAATCATGATCGAGAGTGGTTGAGGTTTTGAATGAGTAAGAAGGAAAGGAAAAAAAAACACCTGCCAAGAACATACTTCACCGGTAGATTCTTAAACAAAGGATGAGGCGAGGAAAAAGATTATAAAATTCCCAGAAAAATTGTTATCAGACCGATAACCAATGTTGTGAAGGGTCGATGTCGAAGAAACACAGTAAAGAAGAAAAGAAAATTTTAATAATCCGAGGAAGAAAGAAAAATGTCTTTTGGTGTTGATACAGATTTCTCTTACCCCTACCGTTCGTCTGAAGCCCGTACGGATCTCCCTTGGTTGTTGTCGGGAACGACATCATGCTGACAGTGGTCTTATATTTGAACGGGCTAATTTTCGGGTAACTCGGTTCACTAGTGACTTTCGAGGACGGGCTAACGGTGTGATACGAGTTCGCGTAGTTTGCATACTTCCTAGTGGTGCTGGTACCGTATTTGTTCTTACTACTATTATCGTCGTTATTGTTCACTTTAGTCTTGTATTTGTTCGCGTACAAATAATTCGCAGTCGTGTTCGTATATTTCGATGCGGTGGTCGCCGCGAATGGCGTCGGCCGATTGTATGGTGTGCTTGTCGACGTCGGCGTCGACGAGAAGAGGTTCGCGAACGACGAGGAATATTTAAATTTCGATTGCGGCGTGCTGTGTGTCGTCGATTCCCACGGATACCTGTGTGAAACAGTATTCAATTGATATTATCAAGAGAACGACAGTGAAAAACAAAGAACACGATTCGTCTTGTATTTTCGTGTGTGTTAAATTTTCTACTGAATTTTGCTTTTCAGATAATTAAAGAGGTATTCTAGTCTAGACTCTAGACCCTCTAGACTAGTCTAGACTCTAGAGGGTCATTTTTTAGACCTTTTTTTTTACAAAGAAACCATAAGAGTCTTTTGAACACATATTTACTAGACGTACAAATTAATTCGTTGGCTTCTGTTCATAGATTTTTGTTTATTTACAATGAACCGAAATACAGTCTAGTCTTGAAAATATATGTCCCATCAGTTTCTAGGCATTTACGTCCTTTCTCGGACAGTTGGCGAATCTCTTCTTGAAAGAAATGATGGCGGTGTTGAGTCAAGAATTAATTATGAGGACAGGAATTAATTTGTATATCTAATATCTATGTTTGAAAAATATTTAATATTTTTGTTAAGCGAAAATAACCAACATTGACCGAATTATAAAACATTCGGTATTGTCTGTAAAAATAAATTTCCTACTGGCTGACACGATCCTGGCCATTTTGCTTATTTGAAACGAAGAAAATCAAAAAGATTGTTGATTAGTATGGCTATGACGTGAACGAGTATGAAGAAAAATAAAGAAATCTGAAAAAATGGTGGCACATTCGAAGTTTGAATATCAATTTTTTCGATCAGAAATTTGAGGCTTTCACGGCTCGGCATCATATAGTTCTCAATGTTGAGGCTTTTGGGTGTGAACTGTGTCCTTGCGGAATTGTTTTTCCAACATTTCGCAAACATTGCAGTTAGCTTCATCATGCTTGCGAAACGTGGGGAAAAAAATTCCACAAGGATACTGCTTACACCCGAAAGCCTCAACAGTGAGAACTGTATGATTTTTTCGATTATTTTCGTGTTCCACGAATTAAAAAATCAGGACAAGAAAATAGTTTTTTTGATAATGCTGGTTCATGCGATAACGGTATATCTGTCGAAGGTGTACACCACATATGAAGTCAATCAGTCGATTAGAATTTTAGATATCGTGTCAGCTATTTAACAAAATACGATTTCGCGAAATACATATTTAAAGACCTGTACGTTCCACACTATTGGCTGTGTGTTGTCTTCAAAACATCTATAATTTCGTTAATTTTACGAATTCGGGCGAATTCTTCTGCATGCATATATCTGAAAACCTAAACTTTCAGAAAATACAAAAATCCGACTTTTTGAAAGTCCAGACCAGAATACCCTATTCATTGAAAACTGAATATTATTTATTATATTACGTTTTCCCATATATGAGTGAAACATAATCTAGCGTCTGTTAAGCAATAATTAAGTAATACGCATAATTCAGTAGGTATAGGGTGAGACTTTAGGGCTAAATAGTAGTTTAAACTTCTTTTGATTCGAACGTCGTACCAAGGTTAATAGAAAAACTAATTTTATCGTTGTAAATCCATTTTTAAAAGTACTGGAAATTGATCTTCTGTACATCAAAACGTGGTAGGTACTTGTTTTGCAATTATACTGACCTACACTTTATGTTATTGGATGTAAAAAATGTACTTTTTTATACGAGGCCAGATAAAAAATTTGAACGGTTATATTTTTGTAGACTAAATGTTCAGGATTAGTTGTAAAATCATATTATGCATGTATTAAGACTACGAGACAGTAAGTTGATCTATTAATGTCGAACAATCGAGAAGATTGCCTTTGACGTTCTCTATAGCTTAGTACTTCAATTGAATTTAATAATTACATCAGTACTGTAGGAACGTTGGAAAAATGAGAGGGCCCAAGCGGGATTCGAACTCACGACCCCCGGCACCGAAAGCAGAGACTCTATCTACCCACTGCTCCACGGAACCCTCCTATTTTCCAAAGATGTTATTTGCTCCTTTGTTGGGTATGGAGTTCCCGATCCCACAGTACTTTGACATAAAAGTGAATTTATCTTAATACATAATATAAGAGTAGCTTAAAAAATTTTAGTTTCTTTTATGTACATTACGTTACTATGTTTGAATTTCTCTTTAAATTCAAAACTCTTCCTAAATTAATTGCTCGATACTTACATTAATAACGTATATCTTTTGTGAGAAATCATTCATTTCATAAAAGTTCAAGTACAGTAAGTTGTTTTTAAGAGCCTTCATAATGTTCGAAACTGTTGGTTACATAAAATGCAATTGTAATAAGAAAAATGATGACAAATATAAAATAACAATGTAGATACCATTAATTGCAGTACTTTATAAATATTAGGATATTATATATTATATTAAGTTGTTACCTGTACTCTGTGTTGTTGTATTGAGCGAATAGAGGCCGATTATGGACTGTAGGGTTATAAGTGCCGTCTCGGCGTACATACGTTGGAATGTTTTGTGTATAATCTGGTATAATGTTCTCATGTTCGGCCACGCACTTTCCATTGAGGCAGTACTAGAAATATACGTTATTATATATTATTAAATTTAAATTATTACTTAATAATCACTTTTTGATAAATTAAAAACTGGTTGGTCATTAACACTGGTTTAGTCATTTACCTGACCATCACCACAGGGAGAGCCTTCGGCCGCTGGACGATACGCCACGCAATAACCCGAACCAGCATCAAAACAAAACAGCTGAGCACAAACTCTGTCATCTTTCTGAAATGCAATAGACATACTTCTATGAATAAATATAAAACAGTATTCAGTCTATATAAGGTCAGTCGTGTGATTATACAAAATTGCACAGTAGGTATTTATCGAAAAGAATTTCAATTTAATAATTGGATGGATTATTTTGTACCAATTAAAGAGTTTAAGGAGTCTTGCCACTGTGAAGGCCTGTGAAATCGTCATTTCTTGGGAATTTTTTTCAGTGAACGAAATATTCAACATAAATCAAATATTTATTAATACATTTATTGAGTGTATAAAAAAATTTTGTTTGAAACTTGAAAACCATGAAATATTTTGTTGTTTACAACGAAGTTCCTTCAGATCCTCTTTTAACATCTTTCATAGTTTTCTTCGAAACGTTTCGAGTGGAATTTTCATCCAACAATGATGTGGAACTGCAACACTTTTTCACACGTGGAATCAAAAAAATTACTAGAATATTGTCTAGAGTTTGTAAACAATAGTGGAGAATATACATGTAATAAATGAAATGTTACATATTTCTCGAAACAAAATTTCAGATTTATAAGAAACCGCAACGAACTTATTAAATAACCTAATACAAAGCGATAGTTCCTTTGTAACGATCTAATGCAAGGTGCATTAATTTCTTCTTTAACGCAAAACTTACGAAACAAGCACTGGTTCCACGGTCTTTTCGACATTGTGCATCCAACGAGAGCAGCTTTCCGGGTAGAACTCTAGGAAATGCCTCGTCTTCGTGAGGTGCATTATACAAACACGTTGCTGTATCACCGCTGAAATTCAAGAAAGAAAAGAAATTGTGTTACATTCAAACAATAACATCATTATGATAACACATTAATATTTACTAATAAATTTCCTATTTAATTGACTCAACACAACATTATTTCTTAATCAATAGGTACTTAAATAGGTACATAAATTGTGTTTTTATAATTAGCACACCATGACATTATCTTCTTAATGAGATCAATTAATTATCATAATTAATCATTGTCGTAATTTATTGATTATTTGTTATCATAGCGCTGTCTCGTTTATTTAAAGAGTTATAAGCCCTATTACAACCTACCGCTGTTACTTTTACTCCGGTCTTCCCGATGCTCTCCCCTATTTTCCAAATCGATATATTGGCCTTTTTGTTTTATTAAAAGTAGGTATGTTCGCCATTAAACAGAACAATGGAATACAGTTTCGGTTTCTGGTGCAATTTTTACTATTCAGCAGTTGCCCTGACTTTGTTTCGTTTACAGTTTCATGATTCATTAAAGTTTCTGTATTTAAGGGCACATTTCAATAAAGCTTTTTCACAAGAGCTGGTACTCGAATAAGCATTTTTCAAGGAAGCACTTTTCAAAGAAGCTCTTTTCAAAGAAGCACTTTTCAAAGAAGCACTTTTCAAGGGAGCCTTTTTTTTAAAAGTAAATCGCATCTTTTTTAATATGTGAAACATACATACTTTAAGAAGTGATGGAACGACGACACGCTACAGTGAGACCACTTGAAACCTTTCTCGGTGTGCCTCAAGTCGCTCATGATATATCCATCTTCCCAACGACATTTTTCCGCTCCAGGTCCCCCAAGATAACTGGGCGGTGGTGACCCATCGTGAACTGCGCCCAACCTATAATATTTAAATTCAAACATAATGGCATTTTCCGCTCAAATACAATACAGCGGGTGATTGTATTTATTAGGGCCACAGTACGAAAAATATACCATTGTGTTGTGTTTATGTAGAAATAAAATCACAATATCAAGATTTTTACACTGTGTAATTTTTAATTAACAAACCGTTCACTAAAACTCCTTACGGAAAATTAAACTTAGCATAGGTAATTATAAAAAAATACATTTGAAATCGTGAAATTGTCAATTTATGCAGGTGGCTGTAATAACTTGATCACCCACTGTAATTTCTACGATTGTAGAAATTAGTTTTGCAGAAAAATTCCCTGTCCTTAACCGTTGTCAATAAAATATGCAAAAAAGACAAGGGGTTTTTTAAAATTTTAGCTGGAACGTATAAACCTACTCCAAATAAATTCAGAATTCGAAAGAGCTGTGATTATCGAGATTCGTGAGAGCAAATACACTTGTTATGTTTTGGTGGGTTAAAATTGTAAGTTACAGATATTATATAGAAACAATCGTATTCTATTATTTGATGATTGTTGTAACAGAATATGTATATCAACAGGCTGTTCCTAGCCGCGATGGTGGTATGTTATATGTAAAATTTTGGCAGGTAAGAATAATAATCAAATTAATTTTGTATGTAATCTTTGTAACACTACTCGTATAAGAGAATGAACTGTTGTTATAGACAGCCCAAAATAGCATATGACATTTAACCATATTTATTGGATTACATTCTTGTAGGTAATTAATGGTCGCTATTTATCAACTATAACATCATTATTACAAACATTATACGTTAATTCTGTAGGTACTTATATGTGGAATAAAACATTCATTTTAAATATAACTATTTGTGGCGGCACGTGCACGTAGTGATGGGGAATCGAGCCGTTCGAGCCGGAAACGGAAAGCTCGAGCCGGCTGAAGCCGGCTTGAAGTCGGCTAAAATTACCGTGCCAGCCTAATCAACGCTGGCAGCGAGGCGGCGAGTCACCGTCAAAGGCAGGAACGCCGGGTCTCGGCGAGTCGAGATGTTATCTGATACCCTATATGCCTCCGTCGCCTGACGCTCGAGTTACAATGTAACACAATGAATGAATCACCCATTAATAAAAATTTAACCTTTTACTCCTTTTTGAAGCAACTTATTCACTATCAGTAACATTGCTGGCCTTTATTAAACTACGAAGTTTTATGCCAATACCGAACTACGATCACTTCTCGTTCATTTTCTGTCACATTACCTTTTCGTTAATACGTTGTGGCGGCCTTAGGACTGCCACCACGTCCTTATTTCGTTTCGTTTCGATTTTTTGTAACTTTCACTTTTCTGGTCTTTCGTTTCGCTTTGCTGTTTCCTGTATATTTCTTCTCTTCAGCGTTCTCACGGTCTCGTGCGAGTCTGGTTATTGCCATGCACATTTGGTAACCAGGTTCGGGCGAGACCCGGGCTTCTTACTCTTACATCCACTTTCACCTAGGGTCCTTAGGTTTTTCTAAAAGTCCTTCTTTGTTCAGTTTTTCTACGTCGATTTTTTCTCTCTGTTTCCACTTTAACTTCCTGCTTAGGGCGTCGTGAAGGTCTAGCGACCGTGCACATTTGGCGACCAGCTTGTGCCGTCCTTGCTGTACGCTGATATCTCTTTTTTACCATCTCGACACTTTCTCCAAGTTTCCCGGCATTTTCGGGTTCCTCCCCTACGTTGTCTGTCTTTCTCTTTACTCCATCTATCCTTTTTCTTTTCGCCCTTCTTAAGCTAGCGCGTAACGACGGAGGTGGTCAGTCTTGCTGGATGGTGGTACGTAATAGCACTTTGTCACGCGCGTGAGAATCTTGTACAGTTAGTCGAATAAACCAAGTGTCAATCAAAACGTGTGGATTACTGTTACACTCCAATTCCCCTCAACGTTATTTTAAAAGGAAGTTTACAAATTCGTTAGCCCCTCTTTATAAATAATTATTAGTTTCCATTCTGTTTAAAACAGTAAATATGCATTAGTCTTTTTACATTACACATAATTTGCCTAAATTTATGCTTCATTTATTAATCTCTTTAAATAACAATCGACAGATGATACGAAGTATGATTTTATTTCTAACGTTGTTTTATTTGCTGTTATACGCAGTTTCCTGCGATGTATGTCGATTTGCTTGTTCGGAGCTCCATAGTACAACCGCAGCGCGTAGCCACCGCTAGCGCGGAAACTCGGCTGGCAAACTCGCGCTCTGATTGGTCGCGGTTTTTCATTACTATCTCGGTAACGAAGCCTCAGATTACATTTTTGCTAAGGAAAAAGTTGTTCCGAGTTACCCCTCGAGTGTCCTATTTCCGGGTCGAACAGCATTTTTGTTACACCCTGTATACAGGGTGTCTCAGCTAACACGATCACCTCGAATAATGACCTAACGGTACACTTTATGCAAATTTTGAGGCATGGAATTTAAATGACATCAAGGGGCACATCTTATGATGTACATACCTTTTTTCTGGGTGGAGACATTTCAGAGATCTCAAGGTCACCTTGATTTTTTTTAACGGAATGACCTATTTTTTTTAACATAGAGCGATAGAGTATAAAATTTTGAGCAAAAAAGTGTTGTCCTTCACACGTCCCTAACCTAATAGGTAACGAGATATTTGCAAAGTAATCACTGTATTGAAGTCGCTGTATTGAAGTTGAGGGGCATCAGTGCAAGCACTTATAGCTTGCAAATAGTAAGTACGTATTTAAAATTATTTTGTATTTGGGTCTCTATCGATCTATGGTATTCGTGGTGATCAACTTAGCTGAGACACCTTGTATAGTTAAGAAATAAGCAGACGGAATTTTAGAGCGTTGTCCGTAGCCAGGTGTGCGGTTGAATACGATTAGAAAGTGAAACTTATTCTCAATACGTAACAAAAGTACGTATTTTCGAAATTTTATCTGGAAAATTACTTGTAGTTTATTGTGACCTGAATACCCCCCCCCCCCTAATTGTAACATATTCAAAACCACCTGTATGATTTTTTTCTTTTTCAATAATTAAATTAGCTCGAGGGAATCGATTTTTTCCGTACAGATTTATTTATAAACCGATTCTTGCAACAACTCAGGAACAGCATTGTATATAAATGTCAATTCTGGTAATGAAAGTGTAACTACTAATTCTTTATATTTAATTAATGCTCAAATGAAGTCTTTGCAAGAACAAACTATTAACCCCTTGTCTTATTTGATAACATCAGGTCACACACATGGTGTGACGACTTCAAAATAGATTGAAGGAACATCCCTAGTAGCACAAAAATATTAGTTAAATATGTTTTTCAAATATTGAAAAAATATTTCTATAGCCACACTTTTTAATATGAAATAAATATTGAATCCAAATATTGTATATATATACAGGAAATATAAAATAAATGTTTAAAAAATATGAACTAAATATTCATAGAATATAAAAGAAATATTTAAAAAATATGAGTTGAATACTTAGACAATAGTAAATAAATACTGAAAGTGTGAAAAGAATGTTTAAAAAAAATACAAATAATTTTCATACGCCGTTTCACGCATCCGAAATTAGTCTACTTCGTGATTATATCCCCCTTCTCTATTAAATACTTTGTATCTACTTCCAAAATTTTTCGTTATCTGTGGGGATTCCAACTCGTGACTTACGGATTACTGGACATACTGCTTCCTGAATGAGCCTTGTGGATCTTCTGTTACAGAGATGATTTTTCATTTTTCAAGAGGAAAAAATTTAAGGGTGATTCTTTGAGGCAAAATCAGATAAAAATCAAGAACAACCAAATTGCGACAAATCCTGCGTTCGCAAGTTACAGGCGTTCAAAGTGGAAAGTGCCTTTTCTCATATGATAACGAATAACTCAGCCAATAAAAATTGTACAACAAAATTAAAAAAACGAAATTAAAGAGAAAAGTTCTCTCTCTAAAAGTATTCCATTGGGATTACCAGAAAAAATTTTATTTGGCCCACGCATCCTTTCAAAGTTGACCAACCCTTTTTAATATTCACTTGCTGCGCTTCATCTTTAAAAAAAAAAGAGGAACGAACTACATGGAAATAATTCTTGTATACAATATTTTTTATAACTATTTTTCGTGGAGATATAATCATTTGAAAATGACCTATATTTTCGGAAAATTTTAGTGGTCCCTTAATTTTGACGCTCAGTGTATATTGGGAAAAAATATTTTGTTTCTAAATATTAAATACATATTTATTTTATATTGGGAAAAACATATTTTCTTCGTAATATGAAATAAACATTGTATGTATATTTAAATATTAAAATATTGAACCTCTTTTTAATATTGGATGAATATGTATTCAATATTTTGTGCTACTAGGGATGAATATCATTCGTTTTCTTTGAGTCGAAGTGAGATACTACTTTGTTGGTATTAATATTTAACTTATATAACAAATCTGCAGTTGTGACCAGTACAGAATTAATTTTGTTTCTGGAAAACTATTGACAATGAAGTAATTCTGAAGTCTGTAAGAAAATGGTAAGGCTAGAAGTTCAAATTGTTTAATAATATAATAAAAATTACAGTAAGAAAATGTAAATGTAGAAAGTTGTAAAGTTTATTATTAAAAACTTACAAATGACCGACTTCGTGGGCAGCGACGATAATTCCACTAAATCCGCCGGTATCCTCGATAATAGCGACGGAATTCACTTTTTCAAGACGCTTATTTACAACACAGGCTCCACCCACATACGCGAAACCTGAATAAACGAAATAGGATTAGATCACAACGCTTCAATCTCTATTAAAGCCATACAGCTAATATCATTAGAAATGTTAATTTCTCTACTAAATTCATTATTCGATTTAGACTAATAAACTACATTTTCAGCGAGTTAAATTAATATCAACGTAGCAAAATACACGGAATATGTCTTCAATTTTGAGAAAATAGAGTGGACCGTATTAAATTTCATAGGACATATCGAATGTAAGAACTTTGCGTTGTCTATATGCAGTATATGCATAGTAGTGGGTGAGAAAGTTATCACTTCTTCGACTTGTTTTATTTTTATTATTTTTTAATGTCAACTTAAAACTTTAGTATGCGTTTAATATATATGTATATTCTAATAGAGAATTAAAAGTTATATACGCAAACCAGTATGATGTTAAGAAACAATAAAAATAAAAACAAATTAGAAAAGTGATAACTTTTTGTGCCGCACTGTATATTAACAGTTGATTTTTTTCACGATAGACCGAATTTAAAACCCATTATTACTCCGTTAATCAAAGGAGACCATCATTAAAAATAGTCCTTGCGTCTTATATATTATAGTAATAATTCAAAGCAATGATGGTAAATAAAACAATTATAGTTTTTTAAATGTAGTGAGATGTGTCGTGATTAAATTATTGGTATCACCGATTTAAAATTTGAATGTTTTCAGAAGCGAAGAGAGAGTAAAATCTTGAATGTAATAAGGTAAAACAACTATTGTATCGTTATTGTAATTCAATATTCTTCCTCGTGGCCACAGTGCAAAAAAACTGACAATGAGTCTTACAAATTGCAATGAACACGAGACTGCAATCGTTTCATTGGCTGGCAGATTATTGTTATTCTGCTTTCGATTCACTTGTTTTTCACTGCTTTAATGGTAACAACATTACTACTTAGACTACGGATATTAATTCAATTCTAGCATATAAAAATATACAAAATATTTGCAAGATATCTACAAGATATGTGCAAAATATATTATCGAAATATAAATAAAGGTATACAAAAGTAAGCAAAACATATGTAAGATATATGAATTATTTCATTATTGTTATTTATTATTCATTATGATTTACATTACAATAGGCAATTGTAATTTTTTCTGTTGTTGTGTTCTATCTGAAAAAATCTGATTTGTACGTCGAAAATGTTCGTTCAACGTCACAGTAATGTTAACATTACTATAACACGATTATACGGAGGGAATATTGTATTTCCAATAATATGGCGCATTAAATAAAATAAATTAAAGTAAATCACACGTGTTCGCATATAACAAATTAATCGCACGTAATAGAATCCCGTTTATTCTCAAAAATGAAGACAAGTACCTCGTAAAGTTACCGTCGATATCATTATTAGATACAATAATACATTTCCATTAATAAAAGAATACAGGCAAGGAGTATTTGTTTAATAGGCAGCATGCATTTGGCGTTAATTTACGTTAATTGGATAACAAAAGCTGTCGAAACATGTTAATATGTACTGTCATTTACCCGCGGAATCGGTTCACAATGTTTTTACTTTAACAACTCGCAACACGCGAGAATTAGTAATTTTCGAAATTTCTGCCTTTCGATATTAACTTGGTTCGCTGGTGTTACATTACTTCGATTTCGAAGACTTACCGGAAATTGTCCTTAGCCATAATGCAGCCAAAGAAATGAAAAAGGTATAAATAATTCAGAATCGAATGAAAAGAGCGTGGAAGTAATAGAAGGATAGACGTATTCGAGATATTCTTAAGCTAATACGACACCATCGGGGCCAGTTAATTAATCACAAAGCGACACGAGATGATGCACACATGTAAGGTAAGTCATTTAAATCGATCTTCACGAAACTGAAAATGACACCATTAAATGTTTCAAATAAAAGTTGAATGTGATGTGAATAGTTTTTTGGTAGATGGACGCGTAGAGACATATGAAGCTCAAATTTTTTTATTTAAATAAAATCATATATTTTGTACTGCATTAGTCGACGCATTTCATATAAAAAATTATTAAAATATTTATACCAAAAACTATTAGTTTCGGAGACATTTTAATTTCAAAATTGTGAAGTTGTATATATAAATAAGATGTTGGATGTCTTGCGTAGTATCGCACGTACTTTTGGAATTAAAATATTTCCTAAAGTAATGGTTTCTCGGTATAAATAGCTTAATACTGATTCATAGAAAATGACGACCTGCGTCGATAATATAGTACAAAATATAGGATTTCATAAAAAAAATACACACATTTGACTTTCATATGTACTCTACGTATGCAGCTACAAAAACCTACTTACATCAAATTATGTCCCTCTCGAAACCATTCACCATTTATGTGAAACATTTTTCGATATCATTGATGGTTTCGGAGATATTCAAGGGCATCGATTTAAAGAACTCGCTAGAATGTTGGAAGCAATTTATTGTGTCGATACCGAGCCGTTTTTACGCACGCACGTGTGCATCACATATAAACATAGATCAAACATATCTGGGCATTATTTTAAAAGCATTGAAACAATAAATCACTGTTCTTCATTAAAAGGATTTATCTACAATTTTGTTAAAGACTTATTCAGTTACTTCGCTTTTAATAAATTGATTTTTATCTTACTTTTTCAGTTGAATGAATATCTTGTAAAATAATTACTAAACCCACATTTGTGGAATATAATATTGAAGTTCACGTTTAAAATTTAAATTCCTTTACCTTGTTTGAAATAATTAATTAAATAGATAGGGTGTCATGTAATTGGTGGTAATACCGGTTAGATGGTGATTCTACGTGAAAAACTCGAAAATATAGAATAAAATTTGTTCAGGTGAGACTTCATTTTGGAGAAAATTAACTTCCATAATTAATCAGAAACGCGTGTATATTCGTTATGATAGAAACGGAATGCAATGAATAGACGCGCTAGCCAAGTTCTATTCCACTGGCATGTGTGTACAACAGATTTTCAAAGTTGATTTTCTCGAAATTGAAAGCTGAAGTGAACAAATTTTATTGTATATTTTCAACTTATTTTTTTACGTAGAATCACCCACTAACCGGTTGTACCACCAGTTACATGACACCCTGTTTATATACTGGGTGAGTCAACAAGAACTACTATCTAAAATCACTCGTGGCGTATTGATTGTATTAGAAAACATTTTAACAAATTATATAGTATTTTGAGGGATGCATTGGATGGATACAATTTTATTTTCTTATATCTTCTTTTTTTTAAGATACCAAGGTGATCTTGAATTTTTTCAAGGTCAATGCATTTTTTTAATGCCACGTTATTACCAATAGAGGGACGAGTTAAACGACCTATATCATGATGGTATTTAAAACAGGGTATTATTCACAATAGGGGAGTCCTCGCCGATTTGGTTGTGTAACGCTCGGCTCGCATGTGACCGTGTTATGTACGAAGACACTCTCGTAACCTCTTAACCCTATCGGGGGTTGGAATGCATCCGGCCAGATTACGTAATTGCTCACGAGGTGTCGTGGCGTGGTCAGATTTTCTGGGAAAACAGTTTCCGTTGAGGAACAGACGTGTCCCCCACTACTTTTAGACTCGATTTTCGGGGTATAAAAAGGGACGCATACATAGTGATGGGATTTGGAACGCTTCGAATCGCTTCGAATCTGTACACGGACGAAAACTTCGAATCGCTTCGAATCTGTACACGGACGAAAACTTCGAATCGCTTCGAATCTGATTCGAAGCTACAAAAGTCTTGAAAGTCTTGAAAGTCTTGAACGGATTCGAAGTTCCGAGGCGATTCAAAGTCTCGAGCGGCCTCGAAATCTTGAACGGATTCGAAGTCTTGAGCGGAGAGATCGACTGACTCTCGTCTCGCGGTTGTCTTCTCATCAACCGTCCGTGCCTCTTATCTTCTAACCTAAACATTAGGACATTCGCCCTCTCACACGCATTCTTACATCCTGCAGTCTTTCCAAGACCGTTCAAGACTCGAATCCGCTCAAGACTTCGAATCCGTTCAAGACTTCGAATCCGTTCAAGACTTTCAAGACTTTTGTAGCTTCGAATCAGATTCGAAGCGATTCGAATTTGTCGCTCGAATTCAAGACAGTTTCGAATCGATTCGAAGCGTTCCAAATCCCATCACTACGCATACAGCTCATCCGCGGCTTATAATCATACTAGAAGTCTAGCTAGTGAGACCGGGTATTAAAGTCCCTTTCAAGCATTTTGAAAAGTAAGCTAAAACTCTGTACGAGAAAACCCCGCATTTCTCGGTGCGTGAAAACCGAAAACGTTGGAATTAGCTTCCGTTACCACACGTTATAGTAACATTTGTAAAACCTTTAATTATTGAATATACGTTTATACGTTTATATATATTTATAATTCAGTGTTGTTCATTTCAAGTCTAGAATAACATCTAAATTCACAGCTAGAAGCGAACCCACAAAGGCATACTTTTACCGCTCGAAGTGTACCGAATTCTTAAAAGTTACGAGGCCCATACTAACAATCCTAGTGGCTCCCTATGATGAAATAGGCATAGGTTCGTCCACGACGTCTAAACCATCCTAGTGGTTCCCTGAGATGAAATAGGCTCGGGTTCACCCACGACAACTTATCACCGTGGCTCATTGTGATGAAATAGGTACAGGTTCGTCCACGTAACAAACTCTAAAAAACCAAACTTGCCATTTCTTCGACTCGCGCAGCCGCTTAGCCCTGTCTCGTAACAACCGACTGCGCGACATCCCCACCACCTGTACCCAGCTCATAAAAAAGGGGTCAAGGCAATAAAGAACGACAGTGCTACTCTAAATCTTATGCATACATTTACTCTGCCCATCGCGTCGCAATTTCCGTTATTTCGATTGTAGCATAATAGTTGCAATTATCATAAACTTTCATCAATCCTACGAGAGCTATCAAGTTAATCGAAGTGGTTTCTAAATGCCCTACCATTTAATCGTGTCTTCGAGACAAGACCGG